GCATTGACCTGCATACAGTATTTGTGAATCCAGTTTAAATTACAGGTGGCTGCAAACCGGACTTGAACCCAGGCCTTCGGCAGTGCTGGCCTCGTGACCCCTAAACCATCTGACCATCTCTAGCTTTTTAGCTGAAGGTTTCTTTACAAATTCATACTCGATGAAAATGTCGTGATTAATCCACTTGCATAAATCATCACATGGAGACAGAAATTACGTGGCACATGCAAAAACACGAGATTTACACAAGCAATCTAATTTGCTCTGCTCCACCAGCATGTTAAATCATTCGCTCAAATCAGATTAAGAGCTTTCTTGCCTGTCTACATGCACACTAACTACAGCCAATCACTTTCAATCTCTTAAGGGGGGGAGAACTATAAACACAACAATACAAAAGTTAGTGCACTGCCTCACATGCGTAGGTGTTTATCCGTTGATGGTCCTTGTGGAAATTCCACAGTTTTATGACAGGCACAAGTCTATAGAGTCACCACCAATAAGCAGCTGCAGCAGGTGGTAACAATCCCATAGATGATGGGCTGGGTTGATAATAGCCCTCTTTTACACACGACCAACTTTTACGAGGCACCAATCACTCAAATGTTTCGGTGAATTTGCTTTATTATCCTTTTGTTTTATATACTCCTAGTGCTTTATATTCTGCCAGAAATTTGACATTTCTAATCAATTATGTCTCTACAGGTCACCTACTGTCAAATTCCCACAGTAATTCTCATTTATCAACGCAGAAGGATGATGGGCTGAGTAAACTACAGATTGAGAAACCTGTTCCTCGACACTAGCGAAAACTCCGTCATACTTGTCAGGTGGCTATGCCAACAATACAGCATTAAGTGAAGGAAATGTAGGTTAAATGGAGTTTAAATGGGCCCTTCGATATGAAATGACCTTTACGTTATTCGCCATCTGTGAATATGATAAAACTGTGTGGGCCTCACATTGACATTGATCTATGCTAAAGGTCTATTAATAAAGCTCTTATTGCGTCATCATGATACATGTCAGTGAAAGCCAAACCGGGACGTAATTTCGCTTTCAAATACAGTGTACATGTTCTGCTGCATTCAAACCCACCACACTACTGCACATGGTGTGTATTTTGGTCACATTTGACTACAGCCATATAAGTATTGATGCCCTTTTGTAATTATATATCAATGATGAATGTTGCTGCACTAAACCTTTAATTTAAGATATAAAACAAATGTGACAAGATATCCATTTCAGGGACTTGGCAGAAGTGTAAATGCAAAGATTGAAAAGTATTAACCAACACCATCATAACCATTTACAAACATTGCCTTATATGCTATAAAACAATCAGTAATTGGTTGTTTTGATAAATGGTCCTCCAAAGGAGGGTCACAAGCTTCATTGCATGGAATGTTAACATCTCCAGAGTATAGTTTTCTGTCAAAATGTCTCTGCCGAAACATAGGAGGAGCTGTGCTCATCTCTAAGCAAGCAATAAAAAAAATCAATATTTCTGACAGGGTTCAATGACTACATAGGACACACACTGTTGACTCACCACATATGGGAATTAATTTTACAATACTTTGGGAGTAGTTTTAATGAATGCAATAATATAGACAGTTGATAGTTATTTCACAGCTCTGCCTCGAGACACAGCACTATTTTTAGGCTATGGAAACTACAGATAGCAAGTTGTGGGAAAGAGGCCAGTTTCATGCGAGTGTCTCATCTGCCTCGCTTAAACCCGTTAACCATGGCTCCACCTATCCACTTTTGTCAAGTGCAGATAAGATACTATTATGGTTCATCACAACAGTAGTTACACCATCATCATCTCTCTGAACTGTTTTGGTGATATCCCCATCACACACTACTCACTGACATGGTGAGTTTGTGGTGGATAGGTAGATTACTGCACTCGTTTAACTCTCTTATCTAAACTTAGTCATACGTGAGCAACCACCATTATGTTTAGTACATTAGCATGGCGGTGGTTAAACAGTGTATCGTTACGATTATTATTACATTTGTTTACCTAGGAAATGTGAGACTCATGACTCGTTTTCAGGAGGGTACTACCAATTTTTTCAGTCGGGGACAATGGCTACTATTTAAAATCTCATTTGAGTAATTTCAGGGTAATTTTCTCATTTGGATCATGACACCAGCACTACAATGGCCTACTCTTGCAGATGATACCACTGGATCTTTAAGGCCCATGACTGCAGGTGTATTGTAAACATATGCACGTTTACAATACACCTGCAGTAATGACCAGAACGGTTGTTTGATTCAAACCTTGAACCTCTGCAATGAGCGGGTGAATGCACTACAGCTGGGCCACGTCACCACCTACATTAGTTGGATAATTATCATCTCTAACGGTCGTAAGACCACAGGACTACCTCTCACCCACATGAACACTTCAAGTCCTTGGTGTCACTTTAGCTACACACAGCTTGACCTACAAAGTGAGAGTTCTTAAATTCATCTCTAAGAACTAGTATGATTTTTTTGGAGACAGTAATATTTTATTATCATTGTCTCTAGATATAAAGCAGACACTAGCTTTTCTAGGTAAAATTTGCTTTTATAATTAACTTTGCAGGCTTATGCAGCCTATTGTTCCAGAGTACTCAGTGGAGGGGGACAGTGTATGGTGGTGGTTAAGCAAGTTATCATCTCCATTTCAGTTTATAAATGACGACACCTCAGGCCACGACCGCTAGCCAAGTTGTCAAACATGTTTATCATTAGACATTTTATAATGTCGTGCTCATTACAGAAAAAGTGCTTGCCGATTTTGTGAAGGAGCATAAACCATCACACAAACTACGGTCAACCATAGAGAAAAGACTCACTGCATCGCGCTTTTCCTTCGAATATTAGGAAGCTACATGAGCTATGCACTTTAAAATAAAAAAAGGAATTTCTTTAGAGCTGCTTTTTGTTTTTAGTCCGTTGTCCTAACCCCGTGAAAGAAGTTAAACATCAATACATTTCAAAGTGGTGACACTGGTTAAAATGTTTGACTCGCAATCACAAAGGCTGAATTTTCCTCTCTGAGGCAGTTGCCAACGCAGCCTGTCATTCTCCTGGTGTTAAAAAAGTACAGTATCAATTTGTGGAAATTGAACGATGGTCATCATGTGAAGAACGAGGACCCTGCCACAGCAAATTTGAGTTTCTAGCACTGGCTCAGTGCCATAAAAAGTGCACCGCCTTCCCCCCCTCGATCATAGAGATATATTGACTTTTGTTGACTTGAGATTGCACAGCGGCCCCATCACCAGTATCACGACCGGGTGCCCCTTTCCAAATAGGGCCCCTTTTGCTCAAGAGTAAGACGTTTGAGATATTTACCAACGGCAAAGCAACTCCCGGGTCTTACATCACACAAGCAGTCGTGCGATAGCGGTCTTTCTTGGGGCGCGAAACAAAGAGTTGTATTCACCTGATTATGTTGATGGGGGACTATGGAATTAAAACGTGTTGGGTCAGTTTTTTTGTGTCATTTTCCTTGGCGTGCAGGCGCGAAACGAAACAATGGTTCCCTTGATATCACGCCTCTTAAAAAGGTAAGATATTGGCGTCTCGTAGACATGGAAGGCGCCAAAATTAATTATCATGAAATGAAAAGCTTATTTTGCTTGAAAACGTGCTGGTTCAACGCTATTCGTGGTCATTGATGCAGGTCTCCCCACGCGGTTACCATCACTCATCATGCGATTTGAACAGTTTTTTTTAAACACAAGATTCTTAAATATATATCCTACACAAGACGCGGACAAACATTTACACAAGCCCCACACGTGTTCCATGAAACGCAGTGCCTTTAATTGAAAAAAACGGCGTTTGGGAGCAAGGCAACCGACTCAACGCGTCTTCCCACAAAGAGGTGGAGTCGCCTCGACACGTGGTGCTAATCTTACCGATCTTGGAGCAACGATGATAATATACGACGGCAGAGCTAACCGTCAGCGGAATATAACTGAAGTACTTTACACGAGAAGGCATGCTGCTATACTTATATCCAAAAAACACCGGTTATATTGAACACGTTAGATTCAGGTACCCGAGTCTCCACGCTCAAATGAGCAACAGGGTGGCATGTAAGTCTGTGGGATGCCCAAATGTTGGATAGGTATATGAAAGTGTTGCTTATTTTATCAACCACAAATATAACTTGGGTTGAGCCAACCAGTGATCGGAACATGCAGGTCATTCAGGTTAGGTCACAGTGTCTCCCTTCTCAAATGAACAATGTGGGAAACCCTTCGCAACAGCAACCGAACTCCGCTCCAGCTACATAAGCCAGAGACGTTGCCAAAAACAATAATCACACAATGGACAGCACTATTAATAGTCCAGAGGTGGGACAAAGTCATTGTTATGCAAGTCCAAGTCGAGTCTGAAGTCATCAAATTCATGACTCGAGTCTGACTCGAGTCCAAGTCACATGACTCGAGTCCACACCTCAGAGGTGGGACAAAGTCATTGTTATGCAAGTCCAAGTCGAGTCTGAAGTCATCAAATTCATGACTCGAGTCCAAGTCACATGACTCGAGTCCACACTACTGATTAATACTATTAATATCGGCAAACAGAATCGGGCCCAAGTTCACCCAAAAGCAGCACCACCACCAACAATGTATTATTCATCAAAGGGCGTTCATCATTTCAACACGGGGATCCAGGATGGCCTTCAGACACACGACGCCGTGCCAAGCCACCAACACCACCGTGGGCAACTGAATAAACGGCGGGGGACGACCACCACGACGGGAGGCCCGCGCCTCTCTCCGTCCACCTCCTCCACCAGGCCGCAGCCTCATCCTGCGCCTCGCCTAGCCCTCATCACCTAACACAGGAGCCCAGAGCGGCGGGGGGAGGGGTGGTGGCGGGGGGGGAGGTTGGTGGTTTCTGAGGGGGGAAAATCGTCATGTTCTCGAAGCCATGTTGCAACCGGGGCTTCCCTGCGCGTTCCGCTGGTCCCTTACCTGCATCCACACGCAGGCGGAGGCGCGCTCCAAGCGAGCGGGAGCCGTGAGGACGCGGAGCGGCACGCAGCCTCTCGCAATATGGCGGTTGCTGTCGCTGGGCTGCGGGACTACCTGCCAGCATCCCGCACTCCGATTGGCCGAGCCCCGCGTGACGACGCGCGGCTATTGGTCGAAGGCGGGACGCGAGGCTCGGTCGCACATTGGCTGAGGCGCGCGTAAGGGGGCGGGTGATCGCTGATTGGCTGACGGGGAGGCGTATGCAAATGACCCGCCCCATTGTAAACAAACCCCTTGGTAAACAGTGGGACTGGATCGATTCGTCGATTCCGATTAATAAATTCAATAGCTGACGATGCATGCGTACAATAACATGTGGGGAAACGATAATCATCGATACTTAAATTCGCTCGTACTAAAACGATTAAACTATTTACCACTGAAGCAAGCGAAAAGGGCCTTCATCATCTAGCAGTGGATTGATCAAGGCCGATGGCTCCGAAGCAAACCTTGACGCTAAATGGGAGGATGATGGCACGGACACGAGCCGATAATAAAATAGACAAAATTAAGTGACTTCAAAATCGAATTAAATGTTAAGAGCGTTCGGATGGTGATAATGTACTCCAGTAGCTAATGTGTGAGCCCAGTGAGTGAGTTCAAGCTTACAGACAGTACCCATTACAGGATAGGCAATACTCTAAACAATCTCAATACATTCGGCAATAACTGCCTGAAAAATGAAGACTGCCCATTGCCAGAAACATCGCCTATTGTATAAATATACTATTGTATAAATATACAATAGGCGATGTTTCGGGCAACGCAGTACATATCACCAAATCGTAGAATTGTATGCAGACACTAAGATGATATCAGTATAGTAGTACCACCATCAAGTGTGCAGTGATGGTGGAGATTTTAAGAACGTAACCAAATACACATGGACGTGCTATGAGGCCCATTCCCCGAAACGTCGCCTAGTTTTATTAATTTTAAAGCCGCAGTGTTATTGACGAATGGACCGATGCATTTTTTTGTTCAACTTCATGGAGAGTCCACTGCTATGCCACCATCCTGCACAATCCATGCTGTACATATCTTGTAATAAAGAATCTTCAACAATGTTGACAATCTGAAGTGATACCTACCTACTTACCTATATTGTCAACTATATGTTTGCCTAGCTGCCTGCCTAAATATCCTACCCATTACCTGTATATTCATTAACTACCTACCTACATACTCTGTGGATCTTCCGGTAAAGTCACAGAGGTCGAAAAATAATAGATCACGACATTTCGATCGCAGCACAAGCAATCGTCATCAGGTGGGACAACCACAGCAAGACAAAACTGCTGAAGTAGGCGAGAGATCTGCCGTGGCACGAGGTTATATAGTGTAGTGTGTAGTGTATAGTGTAGTGTATAGTGTAGTGTGTAGTGTAGTGTATAGTGTAGTGTATAGTGTGTAGTGTATAGTAGTGTATAGTGTGTAATGTATAGTGTAGTGTATAGTGTAGTGTATAGTGTAGTGTATAGTGTAGTGTATAGTGTAGTGTATAGTAGGCCTCGGCAGTAGGGGGGGGGGGAGAAAAGGGGGCAGGAGGCGGGGCAGAAAGTGGACCCCGCAGCTGCACCCGGGTCACTGGAGTAGAGATCGGAGAGAGATGCACAGAGAGAGAGAGAAAGACACAGAGAGTCGGAAATAACAGCTGACATAGTCAGGTAGGATGGAAACATCACAGTCAGTTAAGACTTTACCTGGTTAATAACGTCCTTCCAATGATTGCTCAGTTTGTACCCATCCTCTCGGGTGAAGTTGTGTCTGTGTTTATATATCTGGATGCCTTCATGAACAAATCTCTGATAATAGCCGGTAGGTTTGCAGAGTACCTTCGTCTTGGAAAAGTCAATTTCGTGTGAGCCCGCAGCGTTAAAACAATGATCAGCAACGGCAGAGGTATTGGTCCTACCGTGTTTCAGATCTGCCTTGTGTTTGCTAACGCGGTCCGAGACATGTCGTTTCGTTTTCCCAGATGGTTGTCTTCTCATGGCTGGGGAGACAACCATCTGAGGATCCAACCAATACCATCACTTTTCCATACATAGGGGTTACCAAAAAGATTTCCAAAATCCTAAACAAACACAAGATCCAGGTTCGTTTCAACACAGTACACAAAATCTGTGATTTGATCCCATCTGTAAAGGATGTGATTCCTGATATGCAATACCCTGGTGTCTACAAACTAAGTTGTGGCTGCGGCAGCAGTTACATTGAGGAAACGAAACGACATGTCTCGGACCGCGTTCGCGAACACAAGGCAGATCTGAAACACGGTAGGACCAATACCTCTGCCGTTGCTGATCATTGTTTTAACGCTGTGAGCTCACACGAGATTGACTTTTCCAAAACGATGGTACTCTGCAAACCCACCGGCTATTATCAGAGCTTTGTTCATGAAGCCATCCAGATATACACATAAACACAGACACAACTTCAACCGAGAAGATGGGTACAAACTGAGCAATCATTGGAAGGACGTTATTAACCAGGTAAAGTTTACACTGACTGCGATGTTTCCATCCTACCTGCTTATGTCAGCTGTTATTTCCGACTCTCTGTGTGTCTTTCTCTTTCTCTCTGTGCATCTCTCTCCGATCTCTACTCCAGTGATCCGGGTGCTGCTGCGGGGTCCACTTTCTACCCCCCCCCCTTCTCTCTGCCCCCTACTGCGAGGCCTATAATCAGCTCGTGTCACGGAAGATCTCTCACCTACCTCAGCAGTGTTTTCTTGCTGTGGTTGTCTCACCTGATGACGAATGCTTGTGTTGCGATCGAAACGTCGTGATCTATTATTTTTCTACCTACGTGACTTTACCGAAATAACCAAAGAGTATGGATTCATGTAGTCACGAAAGCTTCAAATCAAGATTGTACCGACGTATAGTATTACCTGTTTACAACTACCATACGTATCCCATAATAGGCCACATAACCCACCCCTGCTATTGCTGAATGGACAATATAAAGTAAACTATGAACTAAACTAATTTGTATATTCTTATATTCTTATAATATTTATAACATTCCTACACATTTATATAAAAAAAATAATTCTCACCAGTTATGAAGCTCTTTTTCCGAAGCGACATGGCCACAAATCATAGCTCAACGAAGTGGCTTATCGTGCTTAAATGTAAAGCAGCCAAATACTCTAAATGTGTGTTTCTAAATGTAGAGAGAAAAACCAGAGGATCCGGAGAAAAATCTACGCGACCACAAGAACATACAAACAGTAGCAGATTAATGTAGAGGGGCACATTGAAAAATCAGTCATTGTGGCAGGACATTGATAAAACTCACGTGTTGTTTCCACCAATGAGGAAATGGATCCCACATGCTCACAAAGTCATCAGAGGACAGCTGTGCGATGGACACATTTAAATGCCCTGTTCAAATTTACCATCTCAATGTGAACTTAGCATGTCTCCTTCACACGTCGCGAGTCGTGTACGCAAATGTCATCGTTTCGTTTGCGCGTTGATTGTCGCGGTCGAGGATTGTTCAACTGAGTGGCTCCCTTTCCGTGTTGGCTTGAGAGCCAAGTGAACGGTGCGCCGAGTGGGACCGATGTGCTGAGAAGTGCCGTGTCCGTGACGAGTGTTGCCAGCAGCAATCAATGTCCCTTATGTAATCTCGCAAGAGGTCATCGAGATTTTATGACGCTCTCACACCAAAAAGAAACGCGTAACCAATCGATTACCTATGGGTATGATTCAGCATTGTTTAAAAGTCGGGAAATGTCAGGGCAGTGTTGCTCCTCTGCATTGGCAGCCGTTCAGCCAAATGCACACATTTCACATTACCATGGCAGGGACCGGTCTCTCTATCAGACAACTGCTGTCGATTCCCATCTAAGAAGTGGTGCTCATTGTATTGACCCCACAGAAAAAAACGGGGCTGAGTTGAGTGCTCGAACCACCACCATCTGGATATCTCTGAAGACCCCCAGCGATATCACTTAAATGCAGTGGTTTGGGAACCGAACGGATACATCGTTGTCTAGCTATCTTGTGTATTAAATGTTTTGTTAGAAATATATTACAGACCAAGGAATTACACAAATTAGAGACAAATGGACTATTAAGACAACTGTGCTTCGACAGGATATGTCGATAGTTGTGATTAATTGAACGACGATGTCGTACACCTGAGATCTAGGAGACGGAGCGATGAAATCGCCTCTTGTGCAGGTGCCAGATGGATCGTTACATCGCAGGACCCGTTCGGATTGCAAGTGAAGGGGGTGTAACCCAGGATAGCTTGAGATGTCAATCGCAAATTATGTTTGCCACAGCCAGGATTCGAACTCAGCTGAGCTGGGTTCGTAGCACAGTGTGCTAACCACTACGACACCGCTGCACCCCACATGTATATTACAATTTGCAATAACAATCACACAGAGTCATTGTTGAGCGAGAGCTGGCCCATTATACACGCTTTGCCGTCGAATATGATTGATTGCTCAAGTGTCTTTTTTAAAGTGGAGCTAAAATCTCGAAGTAGCGAAGGCTTTGTCTGATATAATGCTCTGTTAACTCTCTATCCAGGACCTATTGTTTGTGTCGTGACATCGGGGTTGTCACTGTATGGTACCGGCCTGGAAGGGCCGTGGCGTGCGATGCTTTGCCATCGCGTACACCCCGTGGTGGGTGTAGTACCAGCCCTAGCGGGGCTTGGTGAGCGCTGGGATAGCGCAGGCACGACGCATAGCGTGCAGTGCGGTCTCCCACAAGGGAAAGCGGGAGAGTGTCAGCCCAAGGACAGGGTTGCCTCGGGCCATGGCACTCTGGTTGACCCTGCAAACACGTGATCCGGAGTGTCCACAGAGAAGCCCCCAGGTGGGGGGACTAGGGGGTGATCACGTGTCCGGGGAGAGCTCTCGAGAGGGATCGAGGGGGAGCTAGAAGGCTCAAGAAGGCGGACGGGGCCAGGGGCGGAGCGGCCCCGACCCGTGGGGGGATATAAGGCGGGTCCCTGAGAAGGACCTGGGTCGCTGCATTCTACAAGCTGGAAGCTCTACGTCTCAAGCTGGAAGCTCTACGTCTCAAGCTGGAAGCTCTACGTCCTACGAGGCATCAACACGTAGTCGCGGACCCGAGTGAGGGCCCCACCCTTCGTAGCAGTAACTCCTCTGTATAGGGTAGTTAGCTGGGTGGTCACCACCCTAGGCTGTATCTGGCGAAGGGGCAGTTGCCCCTTTTGTGTTACAAATAAAAGTGTTGCCTCTAAAAGGAACAACGTCTGCGACTCAGTTGGACTCACTACATTTGGAAAATGTCAACTTTTCATGAGCACAAACAACACCCGATGCCCAAGCAGGCTCGACAGCTGTGATTAGCGCCGTGGTGTAGCCGGCATTTGCTATTCACGCTCTGCCAGCTTTTAAACACTAACACGTGCCACTCAATACTGCAATTGTTCTTTGTAATAAAATGTTAGCCTTCATTTAATGCAGTTGAGTGCCAGACTTCTTGAGCGGAATTTATACTGAGTTCAACCACATCACAATATTACGTGCGCATGCTTAACTATGCTTACATGATCCGCTGCTGGATGAAGGCCTACCTACACCCCCCTTGCACATGAGCCAAACTCATCGCTACATCTCTGTGGGGGTTGTCCTCTTAGGCGCGTTCTGTCCTTTGGCTGTTATTCCATCACCACTCTTGTCCGCCTGCCATCAATCATTCTCGGGATGTGTCGTGCCCAAGCTAACTTACTTCTCTCAACAGTTAATATGACGGCTTTCCTATGCCATGTCAATTGTAGATTGTTGGACCGTACTTCACCACACTGATGAATGCGTGTTGATGAGGGGGTGCTGGCTAAAGTAGCCACTCGAGACACCCTATTGGGTGACTTTAATGCCCGAGTGGGTCATGACGCAAACAACTGGGCCAGATTGATTGGAAGGCATGGGCCAAATCAGCTAAAAATAACGAGTTCAAGGAAAAACATCTGCTGGACTACATAGTGATAGAACAGGTGATGGGAGGCCATGTACTTGACACCAGGAACTACCGTGGAGCTGATCTGCCATCTGTAAGATGACAAGCTTGTCATTCTTCCACTGCGGCGGCGGTGGACGTCCACATAGGACCATAATAAAACTCACAATAGCCTGGTCTCAGCTAGCTGACCAAAGTTGCAAGTGAGAATTTCATCATCGCTTGCAGCTGGGGTTGGGATCGTCCCCCCTCCTCCTGATGGCGAGGGGAAATGGGTGAGATTAGGGACTGTGTCTCATTCTGTTGCAATGGTTACATTGGGTACGCAGTCCACACCTCCCCAGAGACCATGGTTGATAAAGGTGTTCCAGCGTGTTCAGAGAAAGCGACATGCCCACTCCCACCGTCTACAACATCTCAAGTCGGAGAATGAGGAGGCTTACCGCAGCCTTCGCTCGGAGGTAAGGAGAGCTGTGTGGCGCTGCAGAGATGAGTGTTGATGAGATGGAATCTGCCTCGGTAGTCCGCGATCACTCATCACTCTTTAGTTCCATCAAAAAAGTAACTTGCAGTGCCACACCTATCACCATCTTGAAGGGATATAAAGGACGATCCGATCTCCAACCCCCAGGAACAGGTCTGCAGATTTGCAGATCATTTCTGTGAGTTCTTGGGGAAGGGGAAATCTCTCAGCTTAGATAACACCATGGGGCAAGGTGGTAACGACCACGCTGGAACTGCCGTGCCTCAATGTTGGAAGAAGTAACCACCCCGTGACTGGCTGGCTGAGGTGCCATCTGTTGAGAAGTAGGAGGGGTGATCACAAGTATGAGACCAGAAAGATCACCGGGCAGTGATTATCTCCCAAGCAAACTGCTGAGGATGGATGGCATCTATGTGCAGACCACCCTATATGACATCATCACAACTGCCTGGATGACAGGACGGGATTCGCAGAGATTGGATGATGTCCTTGTGGTCCCCCTCTTTAAGAGGGGGGTCGTACGGATTGTAACAATTAAAAGGGCATCTCCCTCCTCAGTGTGCCAGGATATGTCCTGGCAAGGATTATTCAACATCGCCTTGCCAGGCACGCTGAGGAGAGAGAGGCTTGCATAGTCCAGGGCGGTTCTGCACAGTTGCCATATTCTCTGTATGTCTGCTACAGCAGAGGTGTAAGGCATTTAAACGGACCTACATCTCTGCTTTATTGACCTGGTAAAAGCCTATGATACCATCAGTAGGCCCAGGGCTCTGTGTTTTTCTTCGTGCTTTCGGGGTCCCTGACTCTTTGTTCAGAATCATTAAGGACCTTCATGGTGATGGGCAGGCCCAAGTAAAGTTGCATGGCCGGCAATCAGACCCATTCACTTTTCACCTTTGGGTGCGACAGGGATATCCTCTGACTCTCACATTATTTTACATATTTTTCGACCACGCAGTTTGAGAAGTTTTCCATGGCTGAACCAGAGGAATTTATATCTGGTACGGATACAATGGAAGCCTGATCGGCTCCTTATTTTGGACATTTTTTACCCCCCCCCCTCCCCCATCGTCACACGGCGTCACAAAAAGTCAGACCCCCCCCCCTCAAATATGACGTCACAAAGCTCTGACCCCCCCAAAAAAAAAACATGCTTCAAATCGCTTTAAATTATTGTTATTGAAGTGCGTATTTAATGTGGCGCTGCACTCTGATGTTGTAGGAGAAAACATTTATTAAAAAGTCTATTTAATTAAGTAGAACGTGTTGTTTATATGTATTTAAAGTTGCGCATTTTGATGTGACGTCACATTTCTCACCCCCCCCCCTCGTCACACATCGTCACAAACGTCTGACCCCCCCCCCCCCCCGAGGTGCGTGACGTCATTTATGGACGGCCCCTAATTTCACGTGTTTACAAATCACTTCACGTCACCCCCCGGGACATTGCCACGGAACCCCTCCCCTGGGTTGAGAGCCGCTGCCTCTCGGCTGGCCCTCAACGCAGGCGGAGGCGCCACCCGAGTGAGTTGACGGGGAGATGGTGGCCGCGTGGCAGCGGACTTCGTAGAGCAGTGGCTACGCCAAGTGGAAAGAGGATTCAAAACAGATGTACTTCTTTCGCACCGTACATAGGAAACGGCTAAATATCGGAGATGCGGATGTGCGGTCTCCACGCTCATACCTTAAGATAAAACTACTTTTGGTATCTTCATTAGGGGTAATTATTAAGCCTCCAACATCCCCCCTGTGACATCGCCACAATGGTACAGCCCAACCCGGGGGGGGGGGATGCCCCGTGACATCGCCACAATGGTACAGCCCAACCCGGTGGGGGGGGGGGGAACCCCGCGGAACCCCTGGCGCGTGACGTCATAGCTATGACGTCACGCGCCAGCATGGCGGCCTACATGCGCAACGTGATCCGAGGTCAGCAGTCCGCGTGCGGATCGCGTAAACAAAAACGAACAAACAAACAAACAGACGAACGCGTAAACAAACAACACGGGCCCGCCGCCTGCTTACAGCGTCGTGCGGCAGCGTAGCAAACTGTAATGCGCGATTGCCACCGTCCCGGTGACCTGTGCGGCGTAGGCCTTGGGACTGCAAGCCGCCGCGACGCTCGCAGCTTGCAGCCCGTGCGGCAGTGCCCTGCTGGATGGAGGCCTCTTCACGCTGCGTTGAGGGGGGGGGGGAGTGTTATTTGCCCATAGCAAAGGCTCGACCGGGTGTGTTGACGGTCCACAATAATAGCGGAGTGGCAACCAAGGAGTTGGGACGCGTCCTGGAGGACGTGCACCGAGGAGATGGAGCGATGATTTCGTGTGCAGGTGCTCGCTGGTTCGTGTGCAGGTGCTCGCTGGTTCGTGTGCAGGTGCTGGGTGGTTCGTGTGCAGGTGCTCGCTGGTTCGTGTGCAGGTGCTCGCTGGTTCGTGTGCAGGTGCTCGCTGGTTCGTGTGCAGGTGCTCGCTGGTTCGTGTGCAGGTGCTCGCTGGTTCGTGTGCAGGTGCTCGCTGGTTCGTGTGCAGGTGCTCGCTGGTTCGTGTGCAGGTGCTCGCTGGTTCGTGTGCAGGTGCTCGCTGGTTCGTGTGCAGGTGCTCGCTGGTTCGTGTGCAGGTGCTGGCTGGTTCGTGTGCAGGTGCTCGCTGGTTCGTGTGCAGGTGCTGGCTGGTTCGTGTGCAGGTGCTCGCTGGTTCGTGTGCAGGTGCTCGCTGGTTCGTGTGCAGGTGCTCGCTGGTTCGTGTGCAGGTGCTCGCTGGTTCGATTGCATCGCAGGATCATGAGAAGTGGCGGTAGCCACGGTGGCGAGACGTTAACTACCTCGCCCGGTCTACAGGAGGTCTACGGGGTCGACACCGACGCCTGCTGCTGTGTATTTGGAATTTGCGTGTCTCTCTCCCCGTGGTCGCGTGGATTTTTCTCCAGGGTCCTCCGGTTTTTTTCCCCTCCACATTTCGAATGAACATCACGCGTTTAGAGTAACTGGCTGCTATGCATCTCCACATGATAAGCTACTTCGTGGAGCTATCATTTGTGGCCATATCGCTTATGAAAATGAGCTATATAGCTTAATGGGCCTTACCTGGTAAAATGAATAAAAAAACCTCGCGTTTTTAACTGCTTTCTTAGCTTGAGAAGGCCTTCATCCAACAGTGGATCGATCATGGCTGGTGACTTACATGCATATGTGCAGACTGTGTGCAATGCGGGAGCAGCGTGGCACAGTTATGTGAGATCACTTCACCACTCTACCCGCCTGGGTTCAATCCTTGGTCACGGTCTCCCCTCTTTTAACGATCTGAACCTGGCCTTAGGCCGTCTCCCCTAAGTCGACTGGTAAATTGGCTGCTCGGATACCCCCTGTGTTGTACTGATGTAACACGCGGGCGTCGTGTCCTGCATAATCCCAGGTACACCACGAGACATCACCACGAACACTGTGACGGCGATACTGACTGACTGACGGATTTTATGATCGACACCCCTTGGGAAGTGCTGCTCCTTACTGTGTGGACCAGAGGTCGCTTCAAGGGATCTTGGATGTAGCTCTGTGTTATCCGCTTCCGTGGACACTCACTTTTCTCAGCACACTTTCCCACTGTCGACAGAGACAGACACTGGGACACGCACCCCAGGCTCGTGTCGATAAGTTGATGTCAGTTTGTTATTTTGTCCGCATCTTCCTCGAAGAGCCACGTTTGCAGGACAGCTTCGTGACCACCGTGCGTCTGTCTCCTGCGTGCAGCGCTGCAGACTAGCGGATTGCGGCTGCTGCCGCTGCAGGGGGAGCTGCTGGCGCCGTCGCGGGCTCAGGCTGCGCCGTGTCGCCTGGCTCGCACGTCCGCAGCTGCCATCACACAGGACCAAACGTAGAGTCGCACTCAACCTGTACACTATACGGCTAACACGTGTCTCACTGGAATTTGAGTTGTATTGCATTGCTGCAAACCCTCAATTAAGACCCAAACATGTACATATGTATGTTGAACTTCTTTCGCGCCGTATGTAGCCAACCGTGCTAATCGGAGGTGCGGAGGAAGGACAACAATCTAAGCACAAAAAGCAGTTCTAAAGAAATTAGTTTTCAATTTAGATGATTGAAAAGTGCATAGCTCCAGTGGCTTCTGAATATCGGAAGGAAGAGCATTCCAGATGGCTGCAGAAGCGCATCAACATCACACACACACACATACCTCCTGGCTTTAATAATCCTCCTCGAAGACACTGGTGTAGCCATGAACCACATCAGAGCCACAGGCCGATGTGCACATCTCCGTAAATAGAAAATTAATGCCAATCCACAGTGGTAGGAATGTGGCCGTGCAACCCAAACTATGGACTTCATAGTAAACCACTGTAGTCTGTGCTCATTCGAGACAGGAATAGCAAACTACACTCTCTTGAAGCTCTCTTGTAGTGAGCTCACCTCGATGCCAGCATTTGGCTCTCCAACATTTCCACCATACGCAATGATATAATTACTGTAAACAAATTCTAATACTCTCTTAAGGTTGGAAAATAGAAAAAGCAAATGGCATGATTGGCGGCCAATTGTGCTTAGCAGCCAATTTAAAATAATAAAAATGATACCGTGGAGTTTCTGTACCCCCTCCCTGTGTCGCAGTTTGTGCTCTGTACTGGGCTCTCATTGAAATATAATAATACAAAATACAAATTTTGGCTATCTTATTATAAGACAACAGTCGGCAATGATGATTGTACTGTACTAGTGATTCCTCAGAGGGATGAAATCCCAACCCTAACACCAACCCTATCCGTAACATAAACCACAACCCTTAATCCCAACACCAACCCGAACGCCAAACCTAACCCAACTCTTAATAACAACAACTCGAACCCACAACCCCGAATCCTAACCCCGACCACTAATCCAAACCTTGCTCCCTGCGCGCACACGCACCCACGCACGCACCCACGCACGCACCCACGCATGCACGCGTCTGCTGCCGGCTCTGCAGGCAGCGCGACGCGCGGCTCAAGAAGCGCCAGGCAGAGGAGGAGGAGAAGCGCGCGCGGCGGCGGAACAAGCGTGAGCTGTGGGGCGCGGGGCGCAGCTCGTTGCCCGTGGACGACGTCTTCCTGCTGCGCATGTACGCGCGTCCCCGGCAGGACGCGCGTGCCGCCCTCGCTGCGCTGCGCCGCTACGCGCTGCTCGACTACGCGGACCCCGCGCAGGGCGTGCACGTGCGCCTGGGGCTGAACCTCTCCCTTGACAAGAACGTAGGTGGCGGAGGCGTGCGTGTGGTGTGGTGTGGGTGCGACGGCAGTATTGGTGACTCGGTGATGGTGATGCCGATGCCGATCGATGGGCATGCGCGAGACTGTGGTGACGGCGATGCTGAGGGGTGTGTGTGAGACAGAGATGGTGCTGGCTGGTGAGTAATGCTGATGAGCGTGGTGGGGTGTGAAATTGCCATGTGTGATGGTGACGGTGCCGTGTGTGACGGTGCCGTGCCGTGTGTCACGGTGACCATGCCGTGTGTGACTGACGGTGCCGTCAGTGGCGTCACTCGGGTTGGTGTCACCCAGTGCGGTAACTCACGGTGTCACCCCCCCATGGACCTCCTCCCGTACCAGACCACACAGAATCCTTAGTCATGTGTTTTGTACTAATGTTACTCGTAAATCGTAATTCCCGTATATCACTGAATGCAATGGCAGTAGTAGTGACATAAACAACTAGCAAAATAAAAATTACACCTTTAAATTACAATATCATACGTACAGACTAAATGTATTTACTTTTACATAGTTTCAGGTGGTTAAAGTGAAAATTCAGTAAGAAACTAAAAAAAACCGTAACATTTAAGAACATTATGGGACCTCCTTTGCCAACTTTTAAGGACTACATTAAAATCAGATATATATTTGTAAGACAGTGATGTTTTTAAAGAAATTTTTAAAAAGACCAAAATAAAATGAATTTAAGATTTAAGTAATATTTCTAAACATGTATCAAGAAACATAGCATTTCCCCCCACTTCGTGTTTTAAATTGTCAATTTCTCTATTTAGTTATCAAAGAGTTATATCATCAATAATTGTTCTACATGTAAGTTTATTATCAATTTTAATCATAGAATAATATGTGATATAGTTGTAAATTGCTTAAATGGAATATTTCTTAGATTATATGAATACTAGCAAAAAAATTGTTTTGTAAAATCTTTCTACATTGAATTACAACATTATTAGTTACAACATTATTAGTAACGGAGCAGAGGCCTTTTTAGATTTTTCTCCTTTTCCTTTAATTACTACTTCATTATCTAAAAAGTTATTGATATAGGTTCACAAATACTAATTACCACAATATTGTAGCTAAAACTCCAGAAAATTTGACAAAATCAGCGACTATAAAACACGAGCAGCAACTAAACCAACAGCACGTGCAGACGAAACCACGTGATTCGAAGCGTCACTGTAATTTGGGTAACAATGACAGCTCTGACCGGAGTGCATTAGAAGGTAAAAAAAGTAAATTAGCACAGAGTTTTAGCCTTGTAGGTTTATTGATACAGTACATGTAATCTGGGCTAACGAAAAATATTGTTGTTGTTATAACTAACTACTGAGATGTTTTTATAAAAAATAATAAATTTTTACTGAAACACTGCACAAAGATGTTTTAGACAGTCATTTTGGTGTCACCCCCTCTGATGGTGTCACCCAGTGCGGTTCGCACGCCACTGGGTGCCGTGTGTGATGGTGACAGTGCCGTGTGACATTGATGATGTCGTGTGTGACTGACGGTGCTGTGTGTGATGGTGACTGTACCGTGTGTGACGATGTCGTGTGTGATGGGGACGGTGCCGTATGTGACATTGATAATGTCGTGTGTGATGGTGACTGTACCGTGTGTGAAGGTGCCGTATATAAAGGTGACGTGTGTGACAGTGCCGTGTGTAAAGGTGCCGTGTGTGATGGTGACAGTGCCGTGTGTTTGTGCCTCGCACAGAAAAAAGTGGAGGCGTTCCGGAGCTACTTCCAGTACCCAAACCCCCTGGTTGCTCCTCCCAACGGCGTTCTCGTCTTCACGTCGGTACGGATTGAAGAGGCCCTCACTCGCTCGCAATTCTGCGATGACGATTGTCGTGATTGTGATGAGACAGTGATGCCGAGGGACGTGTGTGAGACAGATGATGATCGATGGTGGTGGTGAGGCGGTCATGCTGTTGGGCATGGTGGAGCGTGTAATTGCGTGAGAGACGGTGATGATGGTGAAGTGACGATAGCGAGGTAGTGATGGTGATAGTGAGATGGTGGTGAGTGTGGTGGAGCACCTTATCTTATTGTACGTCGATTTATATCGCGCCTTAATCCAAGGAACTTTACAACGAAAAATATAAAATTGTACATTAGATGATAGTGGTTAAAATAAGGAGTGAGGTTGTTATTAAAAGTAGTGGTGTAGTTATGGTGACAGGAGAACACTAGATAGGGTTTGGGATAGTGATCGTGATAGGGGTAGTGATAGGGGTTGTGGTAGTGATAGGGGTAGTGATAGGGGTAGTGATAAGGGTAGTGATAGGAGTTGGGCTAGGCCTGGTCGTAGTTGGTGGGCCAGGCAGGGAGTAGCAGGAGGATCGGCTAGGGGAGAAGAGACGGGGGTTTTTTTAAGGGGAGGAGCGGAAGCTGCAGGTTGTTGTGATGGTGAAGATGGTTGTTGTGATGGTGAAGATGGTTGTTGTTGTGATGGTGAAGCTGCAGGTTGTTGTTGTGATGGTGAAGATGGTTGTTGTTGTGATGGTGAAGATGGTTGTTGTGATGGTGAAGATTGTTGTTGTGATGGTGAAGATGGTTGTTGTGTGTTTGCGATGGTGAAGATGCAGGTTGTTGTGATGGTGAAGATGCAGGTTGTTGTTGTGATGGTGAAGATGCAGGTTGTTGTGATGGTGAAGATGGTTGTTGTTGTGATGGTGAAGATGGTTGCTCCGTGTGCTGCAGTGGGAGTTGGTGAAGGGGAGCGAGACTGGACGCAGCAGGGCGAGGGAGGCACAGGGAGGGACGGTGGAGATTTGGAGCGTCGAGGGCGGGATGGGACAGAGCAGTTGAGAGACGAGAGAAGCGAGATCTGGTGGTGGGGCAAGGCCGTGGAGGGAGTAATGGACTCGAGTGATGAATTTAAACGGACAGCGATAAGTAGACAGGGGGACAGTGGAATTTGTACAAAGTAGAGCAGAAGTGTGGGAATCGTGCGGGGAGGTTAAAAATGATCCGGGCCGAGGCGTTTTGTGTCTGCTGTTGGAGAGGAGTGACGGCGTGGGCAGGTAGACCGAGAAGAAGAGAGGTGCAGGAGTGAAGCTGAGTGTAAACGAAGGGCGCGAGCCGGGAGTTTAGCGGCAGAGAGTGAGACGAGGGCATGGATGATGCGAACATTGAATAGTGGTGGGCGTGGGAAGTGGCAGAGGTGTGGTTGGAGAGGGAGGCGTAGAAGATGACCCCGAGGTTGCGAGCAAAGGAGGCAGGAGGAGTGGGCGAGAATGGAGGAAGTGAGATGGTAGGACAGGGTGGAGGGGAGCGGGGAGAAGGGAGGAAAAGGATTACAGTTTTAGAAGGATTGATGGAGAGGTAGTGGCGTGACATCCATAATTGGACGGTGGTTAAAGAGTTGGAAATGTGGGAGCCAAGGTCAAGGGGTAAAGGCAGGAAAGGCGGCGGTGATGGCTCTGCTCCGAGTTCCGCAGCGCAAGTCGCGCTTCCGTGGCCGTGGGATTCACCTTCCTGTCTCCGCGTGTCCGAGCAGACGCCCGAGGAGACCCAGACGGCGCTGCAACACGGGGCGAGGCTGGCTGGCGGAGACGAGCTCGTGCAGCAGGTGTGAGGGGGTGGGGGGCGCGGGAGGTGGAGGTGGGGGGGGCTCTGTCCCGTCCGATGTCACCCTTACCGCGGGCGTCGGGCAGGGCCGGTGCATGCGTCAGGCCGGCCGCAGAGGAGGCTCATCTCCCTCGGTTGTGAAACGTGTGTTATGAATAAAATAATTATTATGATCATAATCTTTCATTCATCTGTAAGAATCTGACAAGCTATGAAGCTCTTTCTCACAGATAAACTAAAACTATTATGTATTTTACCAGCAAGGTCCACTGAGCTGTGTAGCTCTTTTCAGAAGTGACTTGGCCGCAGATGATGGGTCAACAAAGCGCCACGTGGACATTTATAGCAGCCAAATACTCTTAAACGCATGTTTCTAAATGTGGAGGGAAAACTGGAGGACCTGGAGAAAAATCCATGCGACCACGGAGAGAGAGACACGCAAACTCCAAATTTTCCAGTAGGCGTCACGATTGGGATCGACCCCACGACCTCCTGTATACCAGGCGAGGTCGTTAGCATCTCTCCACCATGGCTCCCAAGTAGTGGTGGGTCAGAAAGTTACAGCAACAAACAATACAAAAACCGATAGGAGTGCAAATTATAGGAAAGCTAAGCAAGTCGCTAAATATGAATAAAAATTAATAAAATATATTTATTGCCTTTGTGCTGTTCGCCTTTAGGCGTCCTCTGGTCTAACACTGTTTTTGTTTGCATGTTCACCACAAGCACGTGTGGTTAATGCAGTGACAGGATTCTTTGTGGTGAATGCAGTGACAGGATTCTTTGCAAATGGATTCTGTTTGGTGTTTTCACATCTTAACACAACAACTGTTTTATTGCCAGAAAGGGTCAAACCTATTCTTACATTTTGATTCTGGCAAGAAAGGTCCCATATAAAAATAAATAGTTTAGTTTATAGTTTTCTTTCCCACCGTGCGTAGCCAACAGGGCTAATTGGGGATGCGCTGTTCACACCAAGCTTGCTCTGAGCAGTGCTGCCCGGATGCTGTTCACATACCGGCACAATGTTCGCCCCATGTCTGTTTCGTGTCTCTGTAACTTCATCGCTATTGAGGTGTGATCGGTCTAAAATTATTTGCCCGAGCCAACTTACGTTACGGGGAATTTCTTATTTAAAATTGACTTATTTTCCCGCGGTATTTTCAATTTGCTCGTATCGACAGTTGTGTTGGCTCCGATTTATATTTGATTGAGTGCCGAATTCGATTTAATTCGCTCGGCTTTTATCATTTTGGGGAACCAGGTCACGCTTGGAGAATGAGACTCATCCCGGTTTCTTTACTTCTCCCACCGGGGTAAACAACAGCAACTGGAAAACTGTAAACTCGCCCCCCCTCCCAGGTGCTGCAGGACCAGGTGGACCAGGTGAGCTTCTACGTGAGCGTCCCCGGCGCGCTGCCCAAGCTCGTGCCGCTCAGGAACGTTCTCCGCAACAACTTCCCCAGGGCCAGGAACGGTGCGTCCACGGTGAAGCGTCCACGATGAAATGTCCGCGGTGAAACCCACGCGGTGAAGCGTCCGTGGTGAAACATCCACGGTGAAATGTCTGCGGTGAAGCCCACGTGGTGAAACCCACGCGGTGAAACGTCCGTGGTGAAGTGTCCGTGGTGAAACGTCCGTGGTGAAACGTCCGTGGTGAAATGTCCGTGGTGAAGCGTCCATAGTGAAATGTCCGCGGTTAAACATTCGTGGTGAAGCGTCCGCGGTGAAAACGCCCGTGGTGAAACGTTGACATCGTTCCATCAGTCAGGTGAACTTTACTTTTTTAAAGCAGCTGTCTTAAAACCAAGACCCCTGTACATGAATTATTCTCTTCCATGAAAACTTTTAACACCATGCAGTTAAAGTAGTAAGTCGATTCAGGCTTTCTTTTGTAAATGCCAGACTAAAGAGGTCACGCTTTACAACTCTGGATGGCCAGGCCAGTCCCTTGTCTGACGGGGAAGGGAATTCCACAGGATTGGAGCTTTTATTTTTTCGATTTAAAGCTTTCGTGAAGAAGGATTGGAGCTGCGTAATGCGAAGGCGTAAGCCCCAGATTGGTTGTAGTCACACCCAGGGGACGTCGCAGAGTGAAGCGGTCATGAGGGGGCAGTAGGAGGGGGGGGTCCCTGGTCCTCCAAAAAGACAAACGCAAAGACCCCGTATAGCCTGACCAGACTGTTGGGGCAAGTGCTGCTAGCGAGCACCTCTGCAGGCCGTCACAGCACACGAGGGCAGTGGGTGGCCAGCACCATGCCCGCCCGGCCTCTTTTGTCTCCCGAGTGGCGATGTTTACACATCGAACCAGGTACCCATTTGAGTCGACCTAGGGAAGGCCCCAGGACCGGTTCAGATAATCGTCACTGGTGTTCGCCGCGAGCGGCAATTAAACTCGGGTCCCCGGGTTCGTAGCGCGCTACGCTAACCGCTGCACCACCGCTCTCCTGGTCCTTCAAGGGCTTTATAGGTCACGCTGGCAGCCAGTGCAGTCCTCGGAGCCACAGGAGCTATAGGACCGGTCCTGAATGTACCGGTAACTATCATGGCAGTCTGGCCGGGTAGTACCACTCGCGTCACAATCGGAAGATTGCGGGTTCAAATTCCCGTGTATTTTAATACGTTTCCATTATCGTAATCATGGTCCTCGTACCAACACTCGTAATGCATTGACGGATCTGTTTTGTATCCTCCTGCTTTCATCTCGAGAATCTAAACCAACTATGGGTCCCTCTGTATACAACCATGGTGGTGGTGGTGGTTGTGTGTATACCTTTTAGACAGGGAGAGAGAACGCACACCTTCGACATAGACGCCGCTGTCGCCAGGCCGAATACGTTCCCCCCTCCAGTACGCGATCAGTGCGGCTAAGACGCTCGCGGTGACGGGCGAATGTGCTTGTTTTTTACCGGCCGTTGCGAAGTGGCAGGCCTCGTGCGGCGAGGGCCGCGCCGAGCGAAGGTTCCCCACGCCGCTTCGGCATCGTCGGCGCGCCCAGCACGGTTCCGGCGTCGGTGCCTCGTCGCTACGTCCCCCGGCTCACGCTGTCCGCCCCCCCCACCCCGCGCAGGCTCCGTGGCGGCGGACATCCCCAAGATGCTGGAGTACTTCACCACGTGCCACGAGTACAGCGTGCTGCCCAACGGCAGCTGCGTCACGCGCATCGGAACGGTAAATCAATAACAACATCAGCACGGTAAACAACAACAACATCGGCACTGTAAACAACAGTAACAACATCAGCACGGTAAATAACAACATCGGCACTGTAAACAACAACAACAACATCGGCACTGTAAACAACAGTAACAACATCAGCACGGTAAATAACAACATCGGCACTGTAAACAATAACATCGGCACTGTAAACAGCAATAACAACATCGGCACTGTAAACAATAACAACATCGGCACAGGTAAACAACAATAGCAACATCGGCACAGGTAAACAACAATAGCAACATTGGCACAGGTAAACAATGTGATTCAATTTGCGTAGCAAATGCAATCACGTCTCCGATCGATTTGATCGTCAGCAACAGCACGAGCAGCAGCCGTGGTCAATCCACCGCTGCATGAAGGCCTCCCCAAAGCCTCTCACGGGCTTGCACCCCCTGCCGATGCCATGGGGTTGGTCCAGAGCTGGGGGTCGTGGTCGAGGTGTGTCGGTCATGGGGGGGGCAGGGTGGGAGGGATTTGACCATACTTCACCGCGCTGGTCATTGCCGGGCGTTGATGAAAGGGAGGTCGATTTGTCTTGCCTGTCTCTCCGTCCCTCTCTATGTGGCTCCCCCCCCCCCACCCCACAGATGGACATGACGGACGAGCAGCTGCTGGTGAACCTGCAGACACTGCTCGCCGACGTGTGCTCGCGCCGCACCGCCAGCTCTGGTACGACGCCGCATCCCCGCTCGGGCACAGAGAGGCCCGTAGACTCGCACGGAGACCCATCGGTCGAGAGGCCTGTAGACTTACACGGAGACCCATAGGTCTAGAGGCCTGTAGACTTACACGGAGACCCATAGGTCTAGAGGCCTGTAGACTTACATGGAGACCCATAGGTTTAGAGGCCTGTAGACTCGCACGGAGACCCATCGGTCGAGAGGCCTGTAGACTTACACGGAGACCCATAGGTCTAGAGGCCTGTAGACTTACACGGAGACCCATAGGTTTAGAGGCCTGTAGACTTACACGGAGACCCATAGGTCTAGAGGCCTGTAGACTTACACGGAGACCCATAGGTTTAGAGGCCTGTAGACTTACATGGAGACCCATAGGTTTAGAGGCCTGTAGACTTACACGGAGACCCATAGGTTTAGGGGCCTGTAGACTTACATGGAGACCCATAGGTTTAGGGGCCTGTAGACTTACATGGAGACCCATAGGTTTAGAGGCCTGTAGACTTACATGGAGACCCATAGGTTTAGAGGCCTGTAGACTTACATGGAGACCCATAGGTTTAGGGGCCTGTAGACTTACATGGAGACCCATAGGTTTAGGGGCCTGTAGACTTACATGGAGACCCATAGGTTTAGGGGCCTGTAGACTTACATGGAGACCCATAGGTTTAGAGGCCTGTAGACTTACATGGAGACCCATAGGTTTAGGGGCCTGTAGACTTACATGGAGACCCATAGGTTTAGGGGCCTGTAGACTTACATGGAGACCCATAGGTTTAGAGGCCTGTAGACTTACATGGAGACCCATAGGTTTAGAGGCCTGTAGACTTACATGGAGACCCATAGGTTTAGGGGCCTGTAGACTTACATGGAGACCCATAGGTTTAGAGGCCTGTAGACTTACATGGAGACCCATAGGTTTAGAGGCCTGTAGACTTACATGGAGACCCATAGGTTTAGAGGCCTGTAGACTTACACGGAGACCCATAGGTTCACAGAGTCCCCGCGACTCACACAGAGATCCATAGATTTGCAAAAAAGACATTATTTTGTATGGTGTTTGAAAAAAGCAGCAGGCTACAATTGTATTTTAATGTTGTGGGCCATTCCACAGGATCCAGGGTGATAGCTGAGTGGAGTCCACTTGCTCCACCAGATTGCGCTCGTTGTAATGGGGCAGTCGTGATAAGTGCCTGGTGGTTTGTACCTCACCGCATCGGTGGAGTCCCCTGATCGTTCCATCGATGGAGGAAAATATCCCACACACCTCCTTCCTCCATCACGTGTCATCGTCGTCGTCGTTGTCGTTGGGAGCGGTCCCCCACTCACTAGCGGAGCCAGTGGGGGGGTGGGGTGGCACGTGCCCCCCCAATGATCCGATCGAAGTCCCTAATTTCGATCGGATCATTGGGGTTTACAATTAACAACAGCACAAACTCTACACCCATGCTAGACCGGGACCAATATCATCGTGAAGTCGCACACGCCGTTAGGCAGCACTAAAGAAGAAGAAGTAATAAATCGGCAATTTGCGACCCCCACTGCCACTGTGTAGCATATCACTGTGTGCCAGGGACTCCATGAGATGATAGGACAATAGTCTGAGTCCATAATTGGCAATAAGTAACGGCAAAGCAGTTATAAGTGACTCAGAATTGTGCGCAGTTGCGTGTACAGCACACGACTTTACCTTCAGCGAGCGCGATGCCGATCACACACGGCTTGAATTCGACCCTCGATCGATGGCTGTGCCATCGCCGCACACGTGTCGAATAAAAAGCAAGGGACAAGTCCTTACTTACTAACAACTCCTCTATCATTTCTCATTGCTGGAGGGGTTGTCCCCCCCCTACCTGAAGATCCTGGCTGCGCCATTGCCCCCACTGTCAGTCGGGGCTGCAGAGAGAACCCGGGGCCGCTCCTTGGTCGGTCTTCACTCGCCGACCTCTCTCTCTAAAATGCGCCCAGCTCTTCCTGTGCGGTGTCTTGAGACGGCGGCCGCGTTTGGGCCGCGCTGCGTGGCTCCGCGTTTGTCTTCCCGCGAGCCGTACCCACCGAGGACTCCCGGCTGTGCGCGCGTCTCTCGCGAGCAGGCGGCTTCGTGACGGACGCCCACATCAACACGGCCACCAGCGAGGAGCTGCCCTTCCACTTCGAGCCGTTCCTGCCGCCGCCGCCCAAATCCAAGAGAGAGGCCAAGGAGCGGGCGCCGGCGGCGCCGGTGGCGCCGGCAGCGCCGGCAGCGCCGGTAGAGGAGGCCGCCGCCAACGCCACCGCCAACGCGAAGGAGTGACGCGGAGCGGCGTCCGCTTCCCGGGCAGCTGCAGCTGCTCCTCCACTCCGAGCCAACCGAGTTCACGGCTCTCGCGTCGCTCGCGGCATCGCAACAATCCACACGCGCACACGCGCCCCTTCCCACGATTCGGTGGACCATCGCGGCCCGGCGTCACAGTTCCACGGAGGGTTTCCGTGACCCTGCGGGAGCGTGTAGACCCCTTTAGTGACTCTGTGGCTTCTAATAATCAATCACGTCGTCGTCATCCTGTGTCTACTGCTGGATGAAGGTCTGCTCAGATCGTCGCCATCGCTCGCGGTCTCGCGATGTCACAATTCATTTAGCTTCTGTGCACTCGTGATAACCTAAACAAATTTATTTTTTACCAGGTAAGGCCCACTGAGCTATGTAGCTCCTTTTTCAGAAGCGACCTGATAGCTCAACAAAGTGGCTTGTAACGTGGACATTTATAGCAGGCAAATACTCTTTCTATGTATGTATGTTAAACTTATTTTGCTCCGTACATAAACAACGGCGTTAATCGGCGAGGAGTGAGTTCAACGCATGTTGATTATTAATGTAGAGGAATAAACCGGATGACCCGGAGAAAAATCCACGGGGAGAACACGCAAACTCCAAATATACAGGCGTCCGTGAGGGTTAGGATCAAACCCACGACCTCCTGTGTACCAGGCGAGGGAGTTAACATCTCACCACCGCGGCGCCTCATTGCACACGAGCCGACCTCATCGCTTCCATCTCCATGGTGGTCGTTCCTCTCGGGCGAGTTTCCTTTCGTTGGCTGCCATTCCATGGTTAGTCTCGACCACCGGCCGTCATCGTCATCCTCTCCTGTGACGCGTCTTGCGCAAGCCTCTTGATTGCTCTTGATGCTTGCATAAGAATCGACGCGAGTCGATGGCTCGCCGTCACGTTGCCGACTGGGCATTCTGATCGGGCCTCCTCTGACGACGGTGCTGCGTGCGTGTTCACGGTAACCGACCCTCGCCCAGTGAACAAGGGAGATGGCTTGGGCGCTCAACGCTTTGACCGCTGCGACCGTGGTCATCGCCGTTCGCCGGTGCGGGAAGTTTAACCGCCGATTGCCGCGCGCCCTTCGCAGTGGAACTTTACAAGGTCCCACGAATTCGTCTCGAAGCAGAGTCGGCCATTGTGTGCAGCCGTCACAGTCCCAACGTTCGAACAAAAAACGGCACTGCAAGTTACTGGCCGACTCTGCTTTGAATTAATTTCACTGTGAAGCAAAGGGTGCGTAATATTCCGCGGTCTAACTTCCCTCACTTGGCGGCCGGAGATTAAACTGTGCATTTAACACGGTTGCTTAGTTTGTTGTCCTTTCCCCGTGCCTCCGATTAGCACGGTTGGCTACGTACGATGCCAAAGAAGTTCGACGTACGTACAGACTGAGTTGAGAAGCGAGTGGCAGATTGTCGGCCTCGATTGCGACAACTTGGAAGGACCCTCCTGAAAAAGTGCCTCGAGACTCGGGCTTTTCCTGGCTGAACAAGCATCGTGATAATATTGAAGTGGGTCCTGCAGAATGACCGCTTCCCAATTCGCGAGGCAACCGCGAGGACCGGTTTCGGCTGCGCTGAAAAATTCGGCATCCGGCCTGCGGAAGGAGACGCCAGTGCCTGGAGAAAAGCAACCGGCGAGAGGGGTGGGGGGGAGTCCACGTCGTGAACGCGACCGGCGCTGGTCGTTGTCGTGGACTCCGTCTGATGCGACCGTTGCCTTCCAGGGGTCGCGTCGTTCGTTCCCGTTACGTCGTTAACTCTCCGCTTGTGTTCACGCCCATTAAGTGAACGTCTATGGAGTCGATCTCACTTTTTATCATTGTCAGGGGCAACTGGAATTCTATATTTGTCTCCCGTGTAAAATCATCAACCTCGCACAAGGGGGCGCCACGGTGGCGAGAAGTTAACTCCCACTGCCTGCTGTTAAAGGAGGTTGTGGGTTCGATCACGACCCTGAACCCTGCTGCTGTATATTTGGAGTTTGGGTGTCTCTCTCTCCCCGTGGGCGCGTGGATTTTTCTCCGGGTCCTCCGGTTTTTCCCTCCACATGCAGAATCGACATGACCAGTTGAGAGTGTTTGGCTGCAATAAATGCCCACGTGATAAGCCACTTATTGAGCGTATCGTTTGTGGCCGGGCAGCTTCTGAAAAAGAGCTATATAGCTCAGTGGGCCTTACCTGGGAAAATAATAAATTAAATAGTTTATAGTTTACAATTCGGTTGAGGGGTTTAAACGAATGTTGCTTTTGAACGAATATTGACAATGTGTCTCGCTTGCACCCTAAGGCCGTGAGGGATGGCGGTGATGTGGGGAGGGGGGGGCTGCAACAGTGGATAGATCATGGCTGCTGATGATGACCAATCCACAAATCTCTCGCACGCAGCCCCCACAGAACTGGCCAACCCCCCTCCCCTCCAAGTCCTGTAAGAAGCCTATCCCCGGCCACTGCTATCTCGTACGAGATGTCCGTAGGCCCAAACATCGCGCCTCCCTCCTGGCTTTGACATCGCTGCCGCAAATCCACCCAGTGGAACCGTCGACCACGTCGGAGCATCGTCATGCAGGCCGATGCGCCACATCTTCGTGAATGGACAATTGAAGGCAAGCCACAGTTGTGCGATTGTGGGCGCGCAACCCCATCTGTGGACCATTTCGTAGACCCACAGAGACCCACAGAGACCCATAGAGACACATTGAGATACATTGAGATACATTAAAGACAAACCACGGTCGTGTAATTGGCGCCATATAGGAAACCCAGAGCCAGAGACCCATAGAGATACACTGGTGACCAGCCACAGAGGCTGTGGCCATGCAAGCCGAGCTATGAACCCAAATCGTAAACCCAGTGGAGTCTGCGCTGCTTCAACAGAGGGGGAGGAGCAGCCAAACGACACGAACTCTCCCCAGAAGCCCCCTCTCGTCGTGGCCAGCAGCAGCAGACCCCGACCATTGGCGTCTGGCTCCTGGACATCGTCAACTGCTGCTGCTGTTGCAATCGCGAAGAGAATCAGAATGTGTTGAGACTGCAGGAAGGAATGCGATGAGCTCTCACAGCTCAGTTTCACAGATGTCCAGTCGGGGCGGGCCGGAACGTGACAACAAACAACAACACGATAGGAGTGCAAAGGACAGTAAAGGTAAACAAAGCACTCTAATCAATTATATGTAAATATAACAACTACGTTTACCTTGCCAGGTAAGGCCCACTGAGCTATCTAGCTTCTATTTCAGAAGCGACCTGGCCACACACAGTAGCTCAACGAAGTGGCTTAACACGTGGACATTTACAGCAGCAAAAATAATCGAATCCGCATTGGAATCGTTGCAAAGGATTGCATCTGAGAGCCCGTCCATCGCGGAGATGGAACGGCTGTTAAATCGGCGATGCCAGGTCAGTGGTCGGCAGCGACCTTTCAAAGAAGAAGAATATTGAGACTTTTTTTTGAGCTTTTGTCTTTGGCCAAAATCGTTCGAGAGCCGCATCCTACACCCAGAGCTACTTTCACACAAACGCAGCAGCAGGTAGCACAGCACAACACACATTCTGACTTAGATAAACAACATAGGCTATGGAATAAACGGTGTCTATTTAGTTCCCCCCCTCCCACCTTTGTTATGCTTAAACAATACAGTTTGACTGTTTTACATTTTGTTGTCACCGAGACATTCCATAGTGACCCACTCACTGCCACAATTAATCAATTCATTATCTCTACGTTAAACTATGTTTAAGGTTAAAGTCTTTTTTTACCGGCTGCCCGCAAGGGGGCAGCCAGAGAGCGGCAGGTTGCCGACCCCTGTGCGAGGTGGGATCGCTGCATCGCAGGCCCACAGGTCGTGGCCTACGGGCCTTGGGGAGGCCTTCATCCAGCAGCGGATGGATCACGACCGACTACATGATCAATGATATCAGGTGATTGGATACAAGGACTCGATCTCAAGCTGGCCTTGTCCTGGAAGAATATATCTGCACCCGGCACACCACATCCAGTATTCCGCTGGGCGATGACTGTGGTTACCTGTCACGTGCCACCAACTTCAGCTGTTGACTTGAGAAACATTCCCTGCGAGATTTGAGACCTGGATAGGTGTGTGATGCATCGATATTGAACCTAAGTGCCACGTGATGGCATTCAACGAGTGTCATCTTGTCCAGTCGTACGGCAGTCACCCAGCCTCCCTCCGTATTCCTGCACCACATTGCAGACGACCAAGTCACTCGACATGTGGTTGGTGGCTGGAGCTGAGATACGGGCCGAGATGTGACGATATGTGATCGGTGGCTGAGAATGAGGTGACGGGGATGGAGGGGAGGGCAGTGGCGTCGTTCACGACACTTAGCAGCTCAGGGGGTGCGGCGATCGGTCAGGTGAGGCCCCAGTATTTGGTTTGTCTCGCACGGTCGCACCGAGGCCATCACGGCTCCTCTTGCCTCATCACACACCATTAAGCATTTTCAGAAACGTAACTTTAAACCGCGTTTTAAATACGTTTTTGTTCTTTTACACCGTTATTGAAAACAAATCTCATGGTGGTTGCCAAGGGCGCCACAACTTGGAGCTTTGGCCACCGGGGGAGGGGGGGGGCGTACCCCCTGCCTGCCCCCAGGCTTGTCACGCTGCTGGGGGAGGGAGAGGGGACTGTGGGGATAACAGCGCACGTTGGGGGAGGGGGGGAAGGAGAGTGCGGTGGATGGAGCTGTGGATGGTGGAGAGAGCTGTGGATGAAGGAGGGAGCTGTGGATGGTGGAGGGAGCTGTGGATGAAGGAGGGAGCTGTGGATGGTGGAGGGAGCTGTGGATGAAGGAGGGAGCTGTGGATGGTGGAGGGAGCTATGGATGAAGGAGGGAGCTGTGGATGGTGGAGGGAGCTGTGGATGGTGGAGGGAGCTGTGGATGAAGGAGGGAGCTGTGGATGGTGGAGGGAGCTGTGGATGGTGGAGGGAGCTGTGGATGGTGGATGGAGCTGTGGATGAAGGAGGGAGCTGTGGATGGTGGAGGGAGCTGTGGATGGTGGAGGGAGCTGTGGATGAAGGAGGGAGCTGTGGATGGTGGAGGGAGCTGTGGATGAAGGAGGGAGCTGTGGATGGTGGAGGGAGCTGTGGATGGTGGAGGGAGCTGTGGATGAAGGAGGGAGCTGTGGATGGTGGAGGGAGCTGTGGATGGTGGAGGGAGCTGTGGATGGTGGAGGGAGCTGTGGATGGTGGAGGGAGCTGTGGATGAAGGAGGGAGCTGTGGATGGTGGAGGGAGCTGTGGATGAAGGAGGGAGCTGTGGGTGGAGGGAGCGGTGGATGGTGGAGAGAGCTGTGGATGAAGGAGGGAGCTGTGGATGGTGGAGGGAGCTGTGGATGAAGGAGGGAGCTGTGGATGGTGGAGGGAGCTGTGGATGAAGGAGGGAGCTGTGGATGGTGGAGGGAGCGGTGGATGGTGGAGGGAGCTGTGGATGGTGGAGGGAGCTGTGGATGGTGGAGGGAGCTGTGGATGGTGGAGGGAGATGTGGGTGAAGGAGGGAGCGGTGGATGGTGGAGGGAGCTGTGGATGAAGGAGGGAGCTGTGGATGGTGGAGGGAGCTGTGGATGGTGGAGGGAGCTGTGGATGAAGGAGGGAGCTGTGGATGGTGGAGGGAGCTGTGGATGGTGGAGGGAGCTGTGGATGAAGGAGGGAGCTGTGGATGGTGGATGGAGCTGTGGATGGTGGATGGAGCTGTGGATGAAGGAGGGAGCTGTGGATGGTGGAGGGAGCTGTGGATGGTGGATGGAGCTGTGGATGAAGGAGGGAGCTGTGGATGAAGGAGGGAGCTGTGGATGAAGGAGGGAGCTGTGGATGAAGGAGGGAGCTGTGGATGGTGGAGGGAGCTGTGGATGGTGGAGGGAGCTGTGGATGGTGGATGGAGCTGTGGATGAAGGAGGGAGCTGTGGATGGTGGAAGGAGCTGTGGATGGTGGAGGGAGCTGTGGATGGTGGAGGGAGCTGTGGATGGTGGATGGAGCTGTGGATGGTGGAGGGAGCTGTGGATGGTGGAAGGAGCTGTGGATGGTGGAGGGAGCTGTGGATGGTGGAGGGAGCTGTGGATGGTGGAGGGAGCTATGGATGAAGGAGGGAGCTGTGGATGGTGGAGGGAGCTGTGGATGGTGGATGGTGGAGGGAGCTGTGGATGGTGGAGAGAGCTGTGGATGAAGGAGGGAGCTGTGGATGGTGGAGGGAGCTGTGGATGGTGGAGAGAGCTGTGGATGAAGGAGGGAGCTGTGGATGGTGGAGGGAGCTGTAGATGGTGGAGGGAGCTGTGGATGAAGGAGGGAGCTGTGGATGGTGGAGGGAGCTGTGGATGGTGGATGGAGCTGTGGATGGTGGAGGGAGCTGTGGATGGTGGAGGGAGCTATGGATGGAGAGAGTTGTGTATGAAGGAGGGAGCTGTGGATTAAGGAGGGAGCTGTGTATGAAGGAGAGAGCTGTGTATGGAGGGAGCTGTGGATGAAGGAGGGAGCTGTTGATGAAGGAGGGAGCTGTGGATGAAGGAGGGAGCTGTGGATTGTGGAAGGAGCTGTGGATGAAGGAGGGAGCTGTGGATGGAGGAGGGAGCTGTGGATGGAGGAGGGAGCTGTGGATGAAGGAGGGAGCTGTGGATGAAGGAGGGAGCTGTGGATGAAGGAGGGAGCTGTGGATGGAGGAGGGAGCTGTGGATGGTGGAGGGAGCTGTGGATGAAGGAGGGAGCTGTGGATGGAGGAGGGAGCTGTGGATGAAGGAGGGAGCTGTGGATGGTGGAGGGAGCTGTGGATGAAGGAGGGAGCTGTGGATGGAGGAGGGAGCTGTGGATGAAGGAGGGAGCTGTGTATGAAGGAGGGAGCTGTGGATGGTGGAGGGAGCTGTGGATGAAGGAGGGAGCTGTGGATGGTGGAGGGAGCTGTGGATGAAGGAGGGAGCTGTGGATGAAGGAGGGAGCTGTGGATGGTGGAGGGAGCTGTGGATGAAGGAGGGTGCTGTGGGTGGTGGAGGGAGCTGTGGATGAAGGAGGGAGCTGTGGATGAAGGAGGGTGCTGTGGGTGGTGGAGGGAGCTGTGGATGAAGGAGGGAGCTGTGAATGGAGGGAGCTGTGGATGGTGGAGGGAGCTGTGGATGAAGGAGGGTGCTGTGGGTGGTGGAGGGAGCTGTGGATGAAGGAGGGAGCTGTGGATGGAGGGAGCTGTGGATGAAGGAGGGAGCTGTGGATGGTGGAGGGAGCTATGGATGGTGGATGGAGCTGTGGATGGTGGAGGGAGCTGTGGATGGTGGAGGGAGCTATGGGTGAAGGAGGGAGCTGTGGATGAAGGAGGGAGCTGTGGATGAAGGAGGGAGCTGTGGATGGTGGAGGGAGCTGTAGATGGTGGAGGGAGCTATGGGTGAAGGAGGGAGCTGTGGATGAAGGAGGGAGCTGTGGATGGAGGAGGGAGCTATGGATGGTGGAGGGAGCTGTGGATGGTGGAGGGAGCTGTGGATGGTCGAGGGAGCTATGGGTGAAGGAGGGAGCTGTGGATGAAGGAGGGAGCTGTGGATGAAGGAGGGAGCTGTGGATGGAGGAGGGAGCTGTGGATGACGGATGGAGCAGTGTATGGAGATGGAATAAACGAACTGGCACCCTGACCTGTCTCCTCGTGCCCGCTACAGATCAGCAAGCTGCACATGAGTGGGCTAAAGTGTGGGTACACCCCACCCCTTTCCACACTTTCTAGTCCAATGTGGAAGAGTCGAGCCGCAGGTTTTCCTTCCCCTCTAGAGCAGGAGAAGTCAAACCCGCGGCTGCTTCGTGACGTTATTTATTATGGACCGTCTCATATTCACATGCATTGCTGCTCTTGAAATATTCCGGGTTTTTTCGCATTTAGAAAAAATGGCTCCTTGTTATTTTGGTTGCCGGCCCCTGATCCAGTCTCGAGCTTCCATTCGCAGGGGCTCCTCCTACCCGCAGGGCTGCGTTCAAGCACTTGCAGGGCTGCGCCTACGCATTTTTTTTTCAACCAACACAATAACTTAGGGCCTAACAAGACGTCCTGCACATTGCGGACCTCCGGCGAGTTTTGTGACCACCAATTGTATGGATACTGTCAATAGGACACGGATCACCGACCCCGAGTGTTTTTCACGACCTCCCCTGGTATACAGGAGGTCGTAGGTTCGATCCCGACCCTGATGCTTGTATATTTGGAGTGTGCGCGTCTCTCCCTGTGGTCACGGACATTTTTCTCCGAATCCTCCGGTTTTTTCCTCCACATTTAGAAACATTCGTCTTGGAGTATTTGGCTGCTACACATTTCCACGTGATGAGCCACTTACTGGGTTGAGCTGTCATTTGTGGCCAGGTCGCTTCTGAAAAAGAGCTGTACAGCTCAATGGGCCTTACACCTGGTAAAATAAGTAAATAAAAGTATATTCGTAAGGTCGTATTACTAGTACTGGCATGAGAAGTCTCGCAACAAGGCCTTTTGGGCTCACGCGCTTCGCTTTCAACGATGCGACTTCAACCCTGATGATGATGAAGCTTGAAAAGCCGAATTGAGTTCACAAGGAGTTACAAACTTCCCGTGAAAGAATCCCGACATCTGTTAATTGCTGGCTTCGATCTACCGCCACGAAGGTCATGGGACCACAACCCCCGAACCGTATTCAGAGCAACGTGTTCGCAATGCGACTTACAACTTCATCAGCCTCTCTGCCCTCGCTCAACTTGGTTTGGATTGTCATTCTGGTGACCGAAGTCACTTGTGAAAATGAAACGCGTGTCCCCGTCTCACCTGGTTACACAAAATAAAATCTGCACTCTGGCAGGCCAAACGTTAGTCAAATTTCTACCTCTGTGTTATAAGCCAGAGTTAATGACATGATTATCAGAATCTTTATGCAGACTGGAGGAATCCGATGAGCTATGAAGATCTTTTACAGTCCGAGAGTTTGTTTGATACCCACATACCAATTGAATCAGTTTTTATATCCTCTGGTAGTACCAGGCCCCAAGCCAGTACCCGTATTGCACATTCCACATTCACATGGTGGGAACCAGTCTCAAAATGGAGCAACTCCATATCACATCTACAGTAGCCAGGCACCATCGGGTGTAGTGGTGGCACAGTTGTTGGCACATTGCGCTACACGGGCCCGATTCCCAGGCCCATGGGCCAATGTTTGGCAATGAGTAATCGAAGGTCTCCCGCCCCCCCCACCCCCTCAATTTGCTGGAAATCTCATTCGTAACACGGCACTCTGGGATTTAAGACGGTGTCGCTGCATTCTCACGAGCAGGGCTCAATTCCAGGCAGGGGTTGAGAGCCCTGGAAAATATTCCCCTCATTCCCACACGTCCCTGACAGGCGGAGGGTGGGGGTTGGCGTGTCGGAAATTCAGCACGAAATATAAAGATATCAGATTTATAGGTGTGCGAGTCGCCTGGTAGTTGGTTAGACATGTGCACGGCCGCTCGGGTAAGGTCGGTCATCTCGAAGAGGTCGGGCACAGTCAGGGAAAGATTGGTGTGCACCAGGCTCTCAAGGGATCTGTGATATGACCAGGGCAGGCCACGTGGCCCAGAGGTCGGAGCACCGAGCTCGCACCGCCTGGGCTCGCATGTGGTCATCCACCCACGAGCTGACCGAGTTCTCAAGCGCAGTCGGCCGATGGCCTTAAGATCGGTCCCCAACGAGCGCACGCAAAAGGCATCGTGTAAAAAAAAATGTTGCACGTAATTTGGCCAAATTCCAGCTGTGTAAATCAAAACAATATCAAGTTGACCGTCATGCGATGTTGAACACGCGTCTTAACAATGAACATTGCACAGTGGGTGGGGAAAGTGGTGCTGCTTCCTAGAGGGTGTGCATCAACGACCACTTGATTTCTCCAAAAGTAGTTCTGCTATATTTGCTTTTGTGAGCTCTCACACAGGGCGTGGGTGCTTCTCTGTGAGATGGATTATTCCTAGTGACAAGACGACACCACGGGGCAATCATGATATAATTGGTGAAAAAAAAACCACGTGAACCTTATGGCCACAAAGCTGCTACTCTCCTGCAACTCAAGAGTTCTCTCCTGGTGAAACTAAACGTGAATCTAGCGTGCAAGTGCAATGGCATCGTTCACTACTAAACATTATTTTTGTTATTTTACCAGGCAAGGCCCACTGAGCTATGCAGCTCTTTTTCAGAAGCGACCTGGCCACAAATGATAGCTCAACGAAGTGGCACAACGTGTGGGAATCTCCAGCAGCCAAATAGTCTAAACGCGTGTTTTTAAACGTGGAGGGAAACCCCTGAAGATGCGGAGAAACATCCACACGACCAGGGGAACATGTGAACTCCAAATATAGAGGCGTCAGAGTCAGGAATGAACCCACGACGTCCTGTACACCAGGCGAGGTAGTGAAACATCTCACCACTGTGGTGGTGAAAAGTACACCGTCTGGACAGGGACCACTCAAATGACACAACACACACACACACCAAGATTTGCAACATAACCTTTAATAAAAGGCATCATAAAACTGCTTTACGTGTTTTCTGGATGGGAGTTGTACAGCAAGTACTACTCAGGAGGAGGAGGAGGCGTGCGTGTGTGTGTGCGTGTGTTTTGTGCTCGACTGTACATCCTCATCGCGGTGTTACCGTCGGTGTCTGGGATAAATCTTTTTTTTAATTCTCGTTTTATTTTATTTTATGAACAGTCAAACATTTTCTTTCCAAACAAAAAAAAACTGGACGACTTCCGTGAACGAAAAATAAAATAAATAACCAAATACAAAATATAGACGTAAAAGAGGGTGGGGGGGGGGGGAACACTTTGCATTCGGATAAAAAAAAGTTTAATCTTTCCAATATACAGCTGTGAACTTAAAACGACGATTCAGTCCAAGCAGCTTCGTTACAAAGAGCCTTTCACGAGAAATACCAAAAATATGCAGTTAACCTGCTCTCTTTTAAGCCTCTAAAATAATACAACAGCGTGGGATATATCTATATAGTATGTACACGTGTGGGCTACGTCTATTTACAGGAGTGATTCGTCTGTAAGTAGTTTATTTAGTGAGTTTTACAAAAGGTAGTTTTTTTTCAGGTGACGTTAGCAAGAAACAGTATAAAGGAAGGTTGATTAACCGCGTGATTCCATAAAGTACTGATAAAAAGTTATATCTAGTTTAATAGACATGCTATTGTACATTTCTTTAAACTTTCCATTTTTTTACATTATTTTTGTACGTTAAATATAATATGATACTAACAGTAATAATATTAATGCCAGCACCAAATCTTAGGTTTTCGGATCAAATGCCATTACCCGCATGCACTACACCTCGAGCTCGCTCGCAAACGATACTTTGTGTTGCATACAAACGTAGAAACATTCGTGCACGACAGATGCAGCCGTGAAAGACTAGAGAAACCTGCAGTGAAACCACGCTTTCTGTGCAATGCAATGCCCCATTGAAGGTGTAAGTACGCGCGCGCGTTATATTTACACGCCTATTAGTGTAGTGCAAGGTGGCGATTAATTCATGTCATTGACAGTATTATCTCTATTATTATTGTTGTTGTTTCTGTTGTTGCTGCTGCAGTCATCTGCTCGTTTAAAAGGGGGGAGAGGGTTGGGGAGGAGTTTTCTTGCGTGCGGGCTGCCATGCGTAAAATGCTTCGGTCTTTGAGAAGGCATTCAGGAACCGGGGGCGGCTTGGGGGGAGGCAGTAAGTGAACGAAGGGAACAACAACAGGCATCATCACCGCGGCGGCCACTCGGAGCGGCGAACTGGATTCTCGGCGACAGCGGACCGCGACGATTCGGGCTAAAGGCGGTCCCCTCCCAAGTGCGACACACGAGAGAGGGGGGCCTCGCAAGGATCACGCGTTTGGAGGGGGGGAAAAACCGAAGGGGGCGACGGCGATGAAAGCGAGGCTGACGACGATGGCAAACGACGTGGCAAAACGGGAAACAAATAACAACAGCGACCTTTACCACCATGTGGGAATGCCACCGGGATTGAACCAGCCTATCCCGATTTGGCGTTGCGATTCGACGTTGGGGGTGGGGGGTCAGAGACGATGGTGGAATTCGCACGAGGAGTCCACGCAACCGCGGTCCTAAGAACGGCGAAGGGCACGCGTATATATTGCACGATGAGAGCGGCATTTGCCATGCTTCGGCGATGAACAGTGAATCACTTAACCGGGGACCTTAAGCAACTTACAGCCAACTGTACGTACATTGAAGGGAAGAACTCCTTATTGTGACATTTGGAAAATAATATTAACGGGCCATGGCGAGAAATTTTCACTTGTGGATAATGTCCTGGGATCTGTAACGTCTCCATCGTGGTCACTGATATACACTTTGATAAGTGCTTTGTCAATCCACTGCTAGATGAAGGCCTCCCCCACACCACGTCAGGCTGTTGTGCCATACTTCACCACGCTGGTCAGTGCAGGTTGGTGAATTGGGAGGCTCCGAAACTGTACAGGTATCACTTGCCACCGATGTTAGCCGTGGCACGGGAATCTAACTCGGTTTCGCTGCGCGTTAATTAGCACACAGAAATCAAATCGTTGACTGTGCGATCAGTGGGGAGTGTGCGGAACTGCTAAGTGTACAAAGCCACGCCTAAGACTACGAAAGCCACGCTGTTCATTGTGATTACAACTTCTATCTTAAGAGAAAAAAAAAATCGTAGAACAATTAAAACCCATTAATCAACGTGAAATGATTGGCGGTGAATGGTCTAGCAGCAATGGGGGGCTGCAGCTGTGAATCCAGTTCACCGCTTTGTGGCGCTCTAAGTCGGCATGCAAGCGTGCATCTCTGCGCAACCCCCACTCCACGTTCTTCACGGCGACTGCAGCCCGGCCGGGAGCAGCCGCCCCTCGGCGAGGGGGGTCGCGCGAGGGGGCGGCGGTGATGGTGGTGGGGGGGGGGGCGGTCGGCGAGTTGGCAGCCGGGGTGGCGGTCGCCGCCGCTCGCTTGTCGCTGCTGCGCCTCCGCCTGGCGCCTTAAATCACGAAGGACGGCTCCTCCACGGCGGCGGCGGTGGCCCCCACGGCGTCCTGCACGCTGCGCGCAGGCAACGCGGAACGGGAGGCAGCGGCAGGCGGCACCAGGGGTAGGGTTACTGGGGCGTCTGAATCACGGACGCGGAGGACTGTGGGAGAGGGCGAGGTAAATTAGGCCTCAAAGGGCCCACCGTGCACATGCTCCATGGCTATGCAGAGGGAACACGCTAAATGTGATGAATAAGAGGACGTGTTTCGGAGCGTGCGTTTGCGAGCGGTGTGCTGCGTACCCGGCGAGAGTTTCGGCGGCAGGAGCCGGGGTGCGAGACCGGGCCCGCAGCGCCACGCTGTATGCCGGGCCCGAGTGTTGCTTGCGCCAACCGGGACTCGCTGGAACGGGGGCGGCACAGGGCGGCACGTTAAGGCGCAGCACGGCACCGGAAACCACCGGTCACCTCCCGCACAGCGGAGCCTCCTTTACAAACAGCCGGGTCAACAGTATACGGGGCCCTGTCCTGAGTGGCACGAGAGGGATATGGAGACAAAGATCCCCCGGACAGCCTTAACAGACTGATGGGGCAAGTGCTGTTAGCGAGTAGCACCGATGAAGGTCGACACGGCACACGAGGGGGTGAGTGGGTCAACACCAACCGGGAAGGGGCAATTGTGCCAGGCCACGTGCACTATGAGGCTACGTGAAATGTGGAAGGCTGCCTGGCAGCTCACGGTGAGCAGGCCAACACACATGGAGACGCGATGAAATGGAGAGGGAGACATGTGGTGGCTCTGCAGTTTGCCCCTTTCCTGTCATCTAATATCCTAGCCACCCTAAATTGCACTCACAAATATACAGAGGCCAGGGAGTTTCTTTTCATCCATCGCTCGACACCTTCAGCGCAAGAAGACCCATCATAGCCTTTGCCTTCAAAGACGCCTTAGGGCAGAAAGAGCCCGTGTCGCCCTCGCCCCCCCCACCCCCTCTGGCGCGAGCGAGCGCAGCGCTGACCTGTGGAGGTGGGGGACGGATGCCGCGCCCCGTCCTGCGCCACGGCCATCCTGCCGGCCGCCCCTCGCGGTGCCGCGCCGTGTCCGGCCTGCAGGCTGGCGCGGTACAGCGACTCCAGGTCCGACACCTCGGCCTCCACGCCGTCCCTCCCGTCCGCCCCCGCCGACTCCCGCCGCTGCTGCGGCCGCCGCTGGTGCTGCTGCTGGTGCCACGGCAGCCACGGGGAGCCCTCGCTCGCCGCCGCGACCGTGCCGAGCCGCCGGCCGTCGACGCCGGGCTCCCCGGGCTGCTCGCACTGCGTGGCGGCGTCGGCCAGGGCTCCGCCGCAGTGAGTTCGCCGCGCGTGCGCGCCGCCCTCGCAGCAGCAGCCGCCGCCGCCGCCTCCGCAGCCAACACTGCCAATGCTTCCCGCGCGCGACACCGTTTCCAAAGTCCTGCGCTCGCCATCACCGCCCATGCTCGGCTGCTGCTGCGGCGGCTGCTGCTGGTGCTGCTGCTGCTGGCGCAGAAATCCCAGGCGCTGCATTGGCAGCTGCGGAGAGACGGGGCCACCCCAGCAAGCGTCCTGGAACTGCTCGATGAGCGAGCGCACGCTGGGCACGGCCGACTCCGTCAGGCTCCGCGGGCGGTCGCCCGGCGGCGGTCGCGACGCCAGCACGGGAAGGGTGGGAGGGAGGGGAGGGAGAGGAGACGGCGGGGGGGTCGGCGGATCCTTGACGTAGACCCACGCGCCACCGTCGCCGATGCCGCCACGGCCGCGCTCCGCGCGCCACTTGCCCGGCAGGTTTTGCGGGCAGCCGACCAGGTAGTGCACCGACTCGTAGGAGAGCCGCAGCGGCGCCCCGCGGGGGCCCAGCTTGGCTCTCCGTGGCGAGACGAGCGACTCCACCGCGTCCGACCCGCGCGCCCCCGCGCCGAAGTCCGCGGGCCGCGGCGCCGCCGCCGCCAACGGGAAGCGCCGCGGATCGTCGCCGGCGCCACCCGCCGGCTCGGTCGCCGGGAGCGAGAAGGTGATGTGCCTCTGCCGCAGGTGGGCGCCAGCGTCGGCCCAGCGCGGCTGGTACACGCTCGACGTGCTGAGCGACAGGCAGCCGTCCGTCCGGAAGCCGCCCGGCGCCAGCTCCTTCAGCGCCTGCCGCCGATTGGCGGTGAGGTCGCTTTTGGTCCGCGCCAGGGGCGGCCGATCCCCTCCTTCTCCGCCGCCGCACGGAGAAAGGCGATCGCCGGAAAGGTGGTCGCTCGACGAGGAGATCCTGGCGTAGGAGGAGGACGAGGAGTAGGAGGAAGAAGAGCAGGAGGAGGGGGGGAGCGGGTGGTGCTCGGCCGGGGGGCCGTAGAGGAGGTAGTGAGCGCTATAGACGGCGCCCGCGCCCCGCACGTGGCCGCACTCGTCGCAGGGCCCCGGCCCACACGTCTGCGTCGCTTGGGAGAGGCGAGCGGCGGCAGAGGCGGCAGAGGCGGCCCCGGCGCGCGACACGGGGGGGCCGTCCGTCATGGGGAGGGGGGGGCCACGCTGCGCTGCTACATCTGCACCTTGCGGCTGTAGCAGCGGATGATCCGCCATCCAGCTGCGGAGAGGGGCGGCACGGGGGGGGGGGGGGGGGGGGCAGGCAGGTGCGCGTGGCAGCTCGGTTAACAGATTTCCATTTGCTCCGTTTGTTGAATAAGCGAGGGGTGTTGATTGGCTATCAATCGCTGGGGAGAATGGACGTGACGCACGGGTCGTAGGGGTTTGCGAGCCGCATTGGGGCGCGGCGTTGAGCATCTCTTCTCTCGAGCCTTTCGCGAGCGCACATTCCTGCGGGCACCTTTGTCCTCGGGAGTTGCCCCGCAGGAGTAGTGCGTGGCAAAAGGTTCGAGACGAGACAGACTAAATGCGCCGCACAGTTCCGTTTCCGATCGTGTGTTCCAGTGGAGGGTGGACCGGTGGCAGATGTGGTTACGCTCGCGTCGTCTCTCTGGTTTCACCCTCGGCATGCCAACGTCAGGACGACGGGGGCATGCCCGTGACTTTTACTGCCACGGCAAGTTCCCTTGTGCACAAACAAGTGACACCGCTACTTCCTCACGGGCACGAATTCGACGGAGGATTTCCTTCTGGCATCCGGCCAAGGGTGACTCGGCGCTAGAGCGAGCGGCTCGCAAATCGCAAGGCCGCAAGTTCAAATTCCGGTTTTGAGTTTCACCCAGCCCATAATTCCTCTGGGGGGTCGATAAAATTTAGTACCACTCTGTGGAGGAGTCAACAACTGGTTGTTCTGTGGATAGGCTCGTTCCCACCATAGGAATGTGGAATATCCACCACTGGCTCAGGGCTGCAGGCGAGAGCGGAGCACAACCTCGGTGTTGATTTGAGCAGGAACTCACTTTGACGCCTCACTTTTCCTTCGGGCAATGGAATAGAAACGGTTAAGTTGTACAAGTGTACTTGAACAGCCCTTTGCCAATCCACTGCTGGATGAGGGCCTCCCCATGTTGTGCGGGTCGTGGGGGTTTTATCCGACGTCTTTGTCCAACTTGTGACCATGACCAAGTGGTCGAGAGCTCCATGCCGGCAAAGCAAGCAGCTGGGTACTCACATGCGATGGGAGATGGTGGATAGGTTGGACGGGTGAGAGGGTGGGTAGGTGGAAAGGGTAGTTTGGTGAGCGGGTTGGTGGGCGGGTTGGTGGGCGGATTGGTAAGTGGATTTGTGGGTGGATTAATGTGGTGGTTGGTAGGTAGGTGGATGGGTAGGTGGGTGGATGGGTAGGTGGGTGGATGAGTAGGTGGGTGGATGGGTGGGTGGGAGGATGGGTGGGTGGGTAGGCAGGAAAATCCAGCGGGTGGAGGGGGGTACTACCTGGGGGCAGGGTGAGCGGGCCGGCCGTCTGGCCAGGAGAGGAGGGGGTCCCGCGCAGTGTCCGTGGCACGGCCCCGAGTGTTAGGGGCGGCGAGGGGGTGGTTAGCTGGCGCGGCACGGCCATGCGAGTTAGAACGCGCACACACACGTACACACGCGCGCGTTCGCACATACACGCGCACACGCGCACACACACACACACAAGAACATCCTCGTCGGCGTGGGTTAGAAGACCGGTTTGGGGCACAAGCGTTGGTGAGCGAGTAGCTGTTAATGCGGTTGGCACGGCACACAGGGCGCGGTGGGGACAGGGCTACGAACGCCCGGCCGCCTGTGTCTCCTCAGTGCTGGTGAGCTTACATTTTTTTAAGGCTGAGTGGATCAAGAGGAGGTCTGCGCTCACTGCCAATGGATGCGCGTGGTGTGAAATTGAATTCTAATTGGTAGGATAGTGACACGTGAAAGTGCTGACCATTATGCCAACACTGCAAAAAAATACACATAAACATAAACAAAAGACAAAGACACGCATAAAACACAATCACAAACATACACACACACTGCACAAAACACACACACACGAACATGGACACAAATCCTCTTTATAGCCTTGAATATAAGTACAGTAAAACCTCGTTATTTCGGTATTTGACAATTCGCAATTGGGGATAATTGGGCACGCCTGTGCTTTCGGTATGTAACGGTGTATTAGTAATTCGCCATGAGCCGATTTGCTATACCGAATAGTCAGATTTCGGCATGCACGTGGAGCAACGTCGTGCACCACGACCAAAACAACGCTCAATCTGGTGGCGGTGCGCGTGGTGAGTGTCAGTGCAGACCTTGTCGCTTTGGACTTCACCTTGATTGTGCACTCTGTGCAAGCCAACCCTCTCAGACAAGTCGTCTACACCGACATCAACAAGTAATAGAAAGGGACTGAAGTATAAAGCCCTTAGTCTGCGAGACAAATCGAAGGATTTGGACAGAATCAATGCAGGTGTGTCAATGCGAATGGTGCGTGTAAGAGTTTGGAAAACAAATTAGGATTTTTTAATTGGGGTAGGCGGCACTGGGGAGTACACCATTGGACATAATTCAGAACATTGGATAATTTGTAAACACCAAGTCCCATATGTATCAAATTAACAAGGGTTTACTGTATCTATGTTGAACTTCTTTTGCGCCGTACGTAGCCAACCGTGCTAATCGGAGGTGCGGAAAAAATCGGAGCCTGTTGGGGCAAGTGGTGATACACACGTGCATCTCCAGATTATTGCACCCACCTCCCCAATAATACTAGACTTTAGCACTCACGTGAAAGCTGGTATATGTAGGTGGTAACCGACATGCTTCGGTTCAGATACCAAGTATGGATTTCTCCAGGATCAATATTCTGATTCTGATTTCGAATGAATAAACCCGAACTTTAAACTTGCATTAAATCTGGTTTCCCAAGATGTTCACCACCACTCTTTGCGTCGGTATCAGATCCGGAGCGTGTCGGTGACCACCAAAAGAACAACCCACAGAGAGCCGACAACATATTAAACTAAAAACTACTCAACAATTTTTTATTTTACAGCTAAGGCCCACTGAGCTCTCGAGCTCTTTTTCAGAAGCGACCTGGCCACAAATGATAGCTCAACGAAGTGGCTTATCACGTGGACATTTATAGCAGTCAAATACCCTAAATACATGTTTCTAAATGTGGAGGGAAAAACTGAAACGCCCAGAGAAAAATCTACACGACCACGGGGAGAGAGACATGCAAACTCCAAATATACAGCAGGCGTCAGGGTTAGGATCGAACCCACGACCTCCTGTACACCAGGCGACGCAGTTGATATCTCGAGCTTTCGCTGCTGCAGATACGGCAGCTGGGTCACAACTGGCAAACGATTCCAATCCTCCCGTTTGTCCGAGGTAAAAGAAATTGGCACCACTGTGCACTAAGCCAACGTCGGTTGGGTTGTCGAGAGACTTCTCCCCAACCACTGAAATGTGGAATTTACAATGCCGGCCCGGGACTGCCAGCAGCAGTCAAGCGCTTCCCAATCTTCGCTTGAGCAGGGGACGCGTGTTTGCCGCTTTTTGTCACTCCACTGCTGGATGAAGGCCTCCCCCCCCCCAGGCCGTGGAGGTTATTTGACTGCACTTGACCGTACTATTCGGTGCGTGTTAGTGAAGGTGGGCAGCATAGAATCACAGCACAACAATGCATTTGTCCGCATGGCTCTCCCTGCCATCCCAGAGCGTAGCCCTGTAGGAATACGGCTCGCCTTAAGAAAACAAGTCTGTTCTACTGCACCATGCTAGGAAGTTACAACGAACGAGGAGCCAACACGTCATGCTCACGATGCAGCCTACGTCGTGTGTAGCACCAAACACAATTTGTGCGGCGAGTTGCCGTGCCAGAGGCTCGACGGAAGCGGTCGTGCCGTTTGGCGACTCGCACGGCACGCACAAGGTAAACGGTGTGCGGGTGCGTGCGGTCATCTCAGGCAGTCAAGCCACGGCACCCGGATCCGTCACATGACCGCCTGCCAGCAAGCGAGAGCCTTCCGCACTCCCACGTGACGGCCTCAAAGTGAACCGAGCCTGGCACAAGCGCCGCGGTGACGTCGCCGCGACTTGTCGCATGGTATACTCACAGGCAGGGTCCACGTACTGGTAGACAGTGATGCCGAGGCCTTCCGACGCTTCCAGCTGACCGGTCGTTTCGGTCGGACTGCCGCCTTCCTCCGCAGACTCCTCATGGCTGTCTGCTGGTAGGCCTGACGAAAATGAACAACGATAAATCAACGTTGCCGTTCAATAAGATGCGCGTCGTTAATTGGCGTGTTAAACGCTTGTCTGCATATGTCGGGTGGCGGAGGGCATTGGCCAAATTTATTGTCAGATCACTAATTTACGTAGGCTAACCCACAAATAAATTACGAATGGAGATCGTAAGGTGTTTGCACCGACAAAAGACGTACTCAGGTTGTCAAGGTCCATGAATTTCGACGGCTTGGGGTTAAACGTCATTTCCGCAGCTGCGATGTCCTCCGCTGTCGATTTCCCATCATCCTTTGCGCCAATGGCAGCCCTCCGTATCTGAGACGTCGTCCACGGGACCGTGGGCGACTCTAGCCACGGGGAGACACCAGATGGCGACACAGCTGCCATGAGCGGCGGTCAACGTGCGACGACGATCGTCTCTCACCGTCCGCTAGACGTTGCTGAACATCCCGTACAAGGCCGTTATCAAATTTCGTCCATTGGAACGATTGTGCGCACAAAGACAAAGCTCCCCCCGCGTAGCCACACAGACATGCTGGGGCAAGGGTTGTCAGCGAGCACCCGTTAAGGGTGGCAGCATCACATGAAGGAGTGGCATCGTCAGCATCACCGCCCGGCAGTCCCTGCCCCCGGAGTGCTGATGCTGTACAGCATCATATCCTACACGAGAATCAAAATCTTCATTTATCCTGGAGAAATCCAATGAGCTACGAAGCTCTTTTTCACTGATGTCCAGTCGGAGCGGGTCAGAAAGTAAAAACAAAATAAATAAACAATAGGGGTGCCAAGTATAGGATAGGTAAAGAAATGACGATAAATACACAAAATACAACTAAACTATTTTGATTTCACCAGGTAAAGCCCACTGAACTACACACAGCTTGAATGCGTACCAGATATATATGTACGCACATCAACTAAAACTAAAATGTTATTTTATTTATCCAGTAAGGCCCACTGAGCAATGCAGCTCCTTTTTCTGAAGCAACCAGGCCACAAGTGATACCTCAACGAAGTGGCTTATCACGTGGAGATTTATAGCAGCCACATGATCGTATACAAGGCCCAGTTCTCCGATGGGATTTCCACCACTGGTTTAGGACCGAGAGTGATGATGGGAGCCTCCCCCCATTGCTCGCTTGCAAGGCGAGAGAAGACACTTTGAGCGTGCCTGTTGGGATGGTGTGTGTGTGTGAGCCAGCGTGTGTGTGTGTGTGCGCGTGTGGCCGTATGTGTGTGTGTGAGCCAGCGTGTGTGTGTGAGCCAGAGTGTGTGTGTGAGCCAGAGTGTGTGTGTGTGTGTAGCCGCTGTATGTGTGTGTGAGCCAGCGTGTGTGTGTGTGAGCCAGCGTGTGTGTGTGTGAGCCAGCGTGTGTGTGTGTGTCCGTGTGTGTGTGGCCGCTGTGTGTGTGTGTGTGAGCCAGTGTGTGTGTGTGTCCGTGTGTGTGTGTGTGTCCGTGTGTGTGTGTGTGGCCGTGTGTGTGTGTGTGAGCCAGCGTGTGTGTGTGTGAGCCAGAGTGTGTGTGTGTGTCCGTGTGTGTGTGTGTCCGTGTGTGTGTGTCGTGTGTGTGTGTGAGCCAGTGTGTGTGTGTGTGTGTCCGTGTGTGTGTGTGAGCCAGCGTGTGTGTGTGTGGCCGTGTGTGTGTGTGAGCCAGTGTGTGTGTGTGTGTCCGTGTGTGTGTGTGTCCGTGTGTGTGTGTGGCCGTGTGTGTGTGTGTGTCCTCGTGTGTGTGTGAGCCAGCGTGTGTGTGTGTGGCCGTGTGTGTGTGTGAGCCAGTGTGTGTGTGTGTGTCCGTGTGTGTGTCCGTGTGTGTGTGTGTGTCCGTGTGTGTGTGTGTGTCCGTGTGTGTGTGTCCGTGTGTGTGTGTGTCCGTGTGTGTGTGTCCGTGTGTGTGTATGTGTCCGTGTGTGTGTGTGTGTCCGTGTGTGTGTGTGTGGCCGTGTGTGTGTGTCCGTGTGTGTGTGTGTGTCCGTGTGTGTGTGGCCGTGTGTGTGAGTGTGGCCGTGTGTGTGTGTGTGGCCGTGTGTGTGTGTGTGGCAGTGTGTGTGTGTGTGTGGCCGTGTGTGTGTGTGTCCGTGTGTGTGTGTGTGTCCGTGTGTGTGTCCGTGTGTGTGTGTGGCCGCTGGGTGGTGCTAGGCACACACTCGTGTCTCCGAGCTGGATAACCGCAAACGTAAAAAAAAACTAATTTCATTCACCAATGAAGGAGGGGCACTGCTGCTGCTGCTGCCGGTTTTTGTTCTACCTCAATGCAAACCCCACTCACACCGTTCATTAGCTCACAGTGGGTATTCAAGAGGCAACCCGAGTGAATTTCCCCGCACGTGCGGCGTGAAAGCCGTCCCTCGATCTTGTCGACTCCCGTTGTTTCGCCCCGTGCCCTTTCTCCATGAGCATCAGCAAGGCGCTGACCCCCGCACTATAATAGAGGACTCGTTTTAGGTTTTAATCAATCTATCAGGGGGATCCGAGAACCAGGGGCTCAGGTTTAAATGGCACCGGTGTTAAGCATCATGGTCAGGGATCAAACTCTGCGTGAAACCGGTCTCTGCTGGCATTATTGTCTTTGAAACCATGTGTTTAGTCAGTCTGTTGTCCAAAGCGCCACATCAGAGTCTGGTATGTTAATCTATCGTCTGAAGACCCCACCAGAGACTTGGCAAGTCTGTCTCCACATATAGACAGCCTTCCCCCTATATATGGACAAAAAAAAGGCCAGACACACACGCATACATACTTGTATATGTGTGCGTGCGCGAGCGTGAATAGTGAGCCAGGAATGTGGAGTGCCACAGAGACAGGAAGTGGTTGGGGAGGACACCGAGAGTGGGGTGAGGGGGTCTCCCTGAGGCCTCCCTGAGGCCCACGAGGATCAACGGGGGAGGGCGGGCATGGGGTAGGTGGGCACCCAGGCGGTTATTGACGGCGTCTGCTCCGCCCCGCTCACAGACGCCGGCGAGCTATTTTAACCTCTGACCTGTCCGACATTGGCACAACCCGGGGGGGAGGCTAAGGCCACGGAAATCAGTCGAATTAGGCTAAGAAGTGCATGGTAGTACATTAAAATAACGTTGTAATTGTGAATTAAAATGTTAAGGTTACGTTGCGCTGCGAGCATCAATTCCCAGACCGGATCGGCCTCTCATCCCACCCCCCCCCCCCCCTCCAGGGGAAGAATAAAACGAGTGCCACTTAACAGAAGTCATTGTGGGGAGTCAACTGTGACCGTCCTACAGAAGGACCGGCCCGTTGAAATATGACCACAGATGTTCCACAACCGGCTGGCTCTGGGCCACTTCCATGTCCATTTGAGTCCGAATCAAAAAATTCCTCACCCGGTTTTTGCATATTTAATATCCTCGCTTTCCAAGATCAGAGTCCACCGAGATTTGTTATTGCTTTTGCAATAAAAGCCTTGGACAGCAGTACTGGCGCAGTAACAGATATTTTTAATCAACTGCTACTTTTTATCCTTAAGTTGATGTTCTAAATTGGCTTATGCTTCCGACATATAATGGCCTGATGTCCAGCCACCGGCACGCTTTGGGTAACTCCCCGTAAGACATCACCGGCGGCTGCGGGAAGTCAACCATTGGCTCGGCGGTCGCGGCGATCGCTAGGGCCACGCATTTCCCGTAACAAAACACAGCGAGACGTCCGATGACGGACAGAAGCCAGGCTCAAGAAAACCTCCGGGTTTATTCCCCCGCGTCCCAAACGTCTCGCCCGTACCCTTCACAAACCCTGTTCGCCAAGACCCCGTCCGAGTTTAATTTCAAACAGTCTGATGGATCTCTGACACCAAAGCTCTCGCTGGCCAAACCGTACCAAAGCTAGCATTGCTTCCCAAGACAAAGATGCCCCCCGTATAGATTTCACAGACTGTTGGGGTAAGCGTTGTTCACGAGCACCGATGAAGGTGGCAAACACTACGCCCAGCTGCCTTTGTCTCCTAAGTGGAGATGTTTATACACCGCACCAGGTACTCATTTGAGGCTGAGTGGACCTTGGGGAGGCCCAGAACCGGTTCAGATAATCATGACTGGTGTTGACCGAGAGTAGGAATTGAACCCGGGTTGCTCGGTTCATAGCACGGCGCGCTAACCGTTTCATTACCGCTCCCCACAATATACACTGTGTGTGCGCGTACATGCACACGCGCGAACATGCACATGCACGCGTGTACGCATATGCACATACACACAAGCGTGCGCACGCACACACACACGCCGGAATTTGTATTTAGACATTCCGCAAGGGTGACCTCCAACTCCAGCAGCTGTGCTGAATGGAAATGTTTGATTCGATTCGATGTGATCCTTGCCAATGTAATGTTATTTTAACACCCGCTGCAGATAAAAATAAATAATGAGCGAGTCATCCCTGGAAGCTTTCTCTCCGGTGAATGATCCTCCTCACTTCCATTGATGTATTTAATGCAGGACTCTTGCAGCTCAGTGGCAATTGTTATTAAATTACCTTGGTTGGGCGTTAGTTTCAATCCGATGGTTGGGGTTAAAAGACGGCATTACCACATAATGGCTTCGTTTAGCAAATCGAAATTGTGGTGGTCGCGGTCAAACGTCAGCACCAGGGGGAGGGGAAGGTGGCTGAACATTTTACGCTGCTGCCAACATCGTCCCCCCCCCCCCCCCCATGCGTCGCGTGTGCCTAAAAGAGGCGCTCACAAACAGCACTCGTCTAGACGGTCCGGAATGGCGCTACGGTGGCGAGATGTTAACTACCTCGCCTGGCATACAGGAGGTCATGGGTTGATTCATACCTGCTGTATATTTGGAGTTTGCGTGTCTCTCTCCTCGTGGTAACGTGCATTTTTCTCCGGGTCCTCCAGTTATTCCCTCCATATTTAGAATGAACATCACTCATTTAAGATAATTTGGCGGCTGTAAATTTCCACGTGATAAGCCACTTCGTTGAGCTATCATTTGTGGCCAGGTCACTTCTAAAAAAGTGCTACACGGCGCAGTGGCCCTTACCTGGTAATAATAAAAAATAGTTGAGTTTCAGTTTAGTTGAAAGGGAAACTGAATTTGTGGAGTCTGCGTGTCATGAAGCGGTCTGCTGTGGGGTGACAGTGCCGTGCCACGCGGTCAGCGTGGCGCAGCGTCGCTTGCTGAGGTGCTTTACGATTTTGTACAACGCGGGATGGTGTGGGCATGGGGGGCGTACCGTAGAGTAACGCGGGGTGCAGGGTGGCACGGGATGGCATGACATATCTATGGGTGTCTCTGTGAGTCTGAATAGGTCTCTATGGGTGTCTGAGTCTCAATGTGTTTCTCTGTGGGTCTCTGTCAGTCTCTATTGGTCTCTATGGGTGTCTCAGGGTCTCTGAGTATGGCTCTCTGTATGTTTTTGTGGGTCTGTTTTTTGTCCTTCCCCCGCACCTCCGATTAGCACGGCTGGCTACGTACGGTGCGAAAGAAGTTCAGTGTGCAAACATACATATGGCATAGCATGATTGACGCTGCGTGGCTAGATGCGTTTTTGTTTTCTCATGGCTGATGTGGAAGTACCGCAACAAACGTAATTGCATCAGGCGTAGCGGAGAGCTAAACGTGGCAGGGTCTGGCACAGTGCAGGGGAGAAGAGCCTTGAGTGATGTGCTGGATTTTAGCGCTGCATGGGACTTTGTAGCACAGTATAGGGAGGGCAGCATCGTATAGGGTGGCATGGTGTGGCACGCCGTCACGGTGCGGCACGGCGTAGCGCAGTCTGGCTCAGTGCGGTGCTGCAGGGTGGTGCTGCAGGGTGGTGCTGCAGGGTGGTGCTGCAGGGTGGTGCTGCAGGGTGGTGCTGCAGGGTGGTGCTGCAGGGTGGTGCTGCAGGGTGGTGCTGCAGGGTGGTGCTGCAGGGTGGTGCGGCGCTCTAGAGCTTAGGCCTGGTGACGTACGCCATGGTGTAGTTTGGCGAGCCGCGATTTCACGAGATTCGCAGCACAATCCGGCAGCGTGTGGTGTGCCGCTCCGTGTCGCTGGCCTGGTGTGGCATTGTGGCGTGGTGTGGCATCGTTTGGCATGGTGAGGCAGTGTGGCACCATCTGGCACGGTGTGGCAGTGTGGCACGGTGGGGCAGTGTGGCACGGTGTGGCAGTGTGGTGCAGTGTGGCACCATGTGGCACGGTGTGGCAGTGTGGTGCAATGTGGCACAGTGTGGCACCACATGGCACGGTGTGGCACAGTATGGCACGCTATGGCATAGCGTGACGTGGTGTGACGTGGTGTGGCGCGGTGTGGCACGGTGAGGCACGGTGAGGCACGGTGAGGCACGGTGTGGCGCCGACTTACTGGGCTGTGGCGTGGGCCAGGCGTGCCGCGATAGGAGGTGCGGCGAGTCCGGGTCGGACGAGGCGACGCTGTCCCCGCCGTGGTCGCCGGTGGCGTCGCCCCGAGCCCGCGGGCCCGGCCTGTGGGAGGAGGAAGCAGCCAAGCCACGGTCAAAGTCTCACATGGAGATCACGGGGGGGGGGGGGGGGGGGGGGGTCACGATTCGGTATTTCCACCTTTTTTTTCTTAATATAAAAACAAACATGAACGTATATATTTTACGTTACTAAGCATACACATTCTAAGTGCACAGCTCCATCTCCGTTGCACCCCCCCACCTCCCCTGTGGCTGCCACTCCATCCTTAAGCTCGACCGCCGTGACGTGTCCTGGCCGAGCCCGCTCAACTTATCTCGTGCAACTTTTATTCCAACCGGGAGCTCGCTCAGAACGCATGGGGGGGAGGGGGGCAATTGATTCGCGTGTTGGCATCAAACCCAATTTGCGTCAACATCTGGCACAAAATTCCGTCCGAGTTGCCGCAATTTTCTGCCTCTGTGGTCGTTTCGATGCCAACCACAACAACAACAACGAGAAAAAATAATAATGGAAAAAAACTTTTCCACCGCGTCTCCTCCGGACGGGGGATCTGGGACACATGCACGCGTAGGGAGCGCGCGATGCGGAGCAATCACCGGTGGGCACCGCCGAGCGAGTGTCCCTGCCAGCGCACGCGTTGTCAAGGCGGTGCGTGTTCCTATGCACTGGGCCAATGTTTGCGCGTGTGTGTGTGTGTCCGTGTGTTACGGTTACGGGGAGCGGTAGAGTGTTGTGGTTAGTGCGCTGCGAGTTCGATTCCCGCACATGGCCTAAACATGTGATGATCTGAACCGGTCCCGGGCCTCCCCTAAGTCGATTCAGCCTCAAATTAGTACCTGGTGTGGTGTGCAAACATCGCCGCTGGGGAGAAATAGGCGGTCGGCCATGGTGCTGGCTACCCACCCTGTCGTGTGCCATGCCGGTCTTCTGAGGCGCTCGCTAACAGCACTTGCCCCAACACACTGTTAAGGCTATATGGGGGATTTTTGTCTTCGTATTAAGTCCCTGCGTACCCCCTTTGTGAAAAGCACATGAAGGTGGGACTTGCGCGCCCCGGTGCGCAAGTCCCACCGACACTTTGTCTATGCGTGCAGTGCGTGGTCCCCCGATGCACCGAGTGTTTGAATTAAGGCTGCGACTCGGTGGATCCACCCCCCCGGCGAGAACGTCGACATCGCGGGGTCCCTCTGCACCGGCGTGAGCTAGTGTGCGTGCATGCGTGTGTGCGTGCGTGTGTGCGAGATTAAGGCTACGTCCCCGATTCACCCCACCACCACCACTACCATGCTCCGCAATGGACTGCATCGCACGGCAGGCGTGCGGCTCGTCTGCTACGCCAAGAGACGATTGATGACGGCTCGCAGAGCGACGGCAGTCACCAATCCCTGACCGCGCACCGCAGAGTTACGCCGCTGCTCACTTAAGAGCATTCTCCGACGGTGCAATTTCAGACATTCTCCTCGAGGTGAACTCCTGAAGCCGTCCCCCCGTTGGCTCGCTCGCCAACCTCGACACGAATGTAGAAATGCCGGCCCATCAACTCCCCACCGTATGGTAGAAGACGTCCTCCCCACCCCTGCCGCCATTGCAACTGCAAGCCACCTCCTTATGCCTCTTCTCTAACGACTACCACGGTGATCGTTCCCATGAATCTCACTCCTTAATTCCTCCACCCAAGTCGAGGACTGTCTGAGCAGGCCGCTTCGTCTCATCCACCCTGTATGTCACCTCACTTCTTTTTCCGCTTTCTTCACTCGGGCGGCTCCACTTTGGATCCCCCGTCCAGCGTCTCCTCTCTCTCCATGTTCGCATCGTAGGGCGCCACGGTGGCGAGATGTTAACTACCTCGCCTGGTATACAGGAGCTCATGGGTTCGACCCTTACCCTAACGCCAGTGGATTTGGAGTTTGCATGTTCTGCCGTGGTCGCGTGGATTGTTCTCTGGGTCCTCCGTTTTTTTCTTCCACATTTATAATCAACATCACACGTTTAGAGTATTGGGCTGCTATACACTATAAGCCACTTCATTGAGATATCCTTTGTGGCCAGGTCGCCACTGAAAAAGAGCTACCTAGCTCAGTGGGCCTTACCTGGTAGAATAAAAAATAGTTTACGGTTTTAGTTTCTAGTAACCTTGCTCGATTCACCTTTCGAGACCGCCGTTTGTTGCTGGCCGCATGGCACTGCGGCCCCGGCGGCCGCCATCACAAACCGAGTGCACGAGGGGGGGGGGGGGGCGCACCTGATGGCGTCGGTGGCGGCGTGCGCATCCCCGTGCGACCCGCCCAGCGCCAGCTCCGCCAGCGGGGAGAAGTCCAGGCTGGCCGAGCTGTTGCTGCAGCGGTCGCCGCTGTCGTAGCCGGACTCGATCCGCAGCAGAGGCCCGTTGAGCCAGTCCCGCTCCTCCTCGACGCTCTCTGCGCACGCGGGCGGGCACGGCGTTGGTCGCACGCGGTCACACCAGTGAGCGAGCGAGCGTTCACCCCCTCGCACGCACATGTTCTTTTGGTAACATGCACGCACACTCTTTTAGTAACACGCAGCAGCAGCGGTGCATGCATAAACCAACACAGCTCACGCCCGCTGCGATTGCAACGCGCATAGCAGCGACAGCTTCATTAGGGGTATTGCAAGAGTGTTGAGCGAGCAGCGAGCGAGCATCATCACCGCTCCCTCCCCCGCGTCTCTGCCACGTCACAAGGAGGGCGCACGATTGATGCCTGAATGCGAAATGTGACGCTGCACTGCACTCTCTTGTCACTCTACTGGCAAGATTTCCAATGAAAACGGTGCACATGGAGCCTTGCTATCGAACGCCGTCAGCGGACGTAGAACCTTGAGGCCAATTGTGTCAGCGAGCGCCTCTGAAGGCGAGTGGGCGGCACACGGGAGACCTGAGTTCAGACACCAACGCTGCAGATGGTAGCTCGATGTATGTATGCCTGGCTGGGCATTAAGCCTCAGCTGCCGGAATAATGCATTTCACGTGCACTCTCAGCAACATAGCGAGCACAGACACTCCGACACGTGCACACACACACACACGCACACACACACACACACGCATGCATTCCACACTTAGTGTTGTCCACCGTAGGGATAGGAGCTGTTATAGCAAGCACCTATTAAGGTCGGCACTCGGCTCCGCACAAGAGGGGGTTGGAGTGACATGGCTGGCACCATCCAGGGTCACCGTTGTCTCCTCATCACCGATGCGAGCCGTGCAGTTCACCGGGGTTCGTACTGCATTGGCGCTAATCACTATGCCGCTAATCACTGTGCCATCCGCTACCCCGCCCCCACACCGAGATCGTCGTCTTCGAACAAAGACAAAGATTCCCCCTATAGCCTTAACAGACCGTTGGGGCAAGTGCTATTAGCGAACGCCTATGAAGCCCGGCACGGCACACGAGGGGGGTGGGGTGGCCGGCACCACGCCCGGCCGCCTTTATCTACCCAGTGATGTTTACACACCACACCAGGCAGAGTCAACCTAGGGGAGACCCACAACCAATATTCACCACTGTTATTGGTCGTGAGAGGTACTCAATCTGGGGAAGGCTCAGGACCGGTTCAGATAATCACCACACCGCTGTTGTCCGTGAGCGGGAATGGAACTCGGGTCGCCGGGTTCGTAGCGAAGCGCGCTCACCGCCACGCGCGCGCATCCTTGAAAACGTACTTTCCCCCGCTTTCGGGAGCTTGCCGTCGGCGTGCGGAGCCTTCCTCGCTCTGTCCGGCTGCTCCGTCTTCCCAACCACAGCGCCGTCAGTTGGACCCCCTCCACCGCCCGCGCCACTTCCTCCTCCTCCGCCGCCGCCGCCGCCCCCTCCGACCGAGACTCCACCACCGCTCCCGCCGCTGCTCGCTCCGCTGCTGCTGCTGCCGCTGCTTGCGGCGCCGACGGCTCCGCCGCCGCCGCCGCCGGGCCGCGCGGGACTGCCCGCGGGCGGCGCTGCTGCGCCGCCGCGCTTCTCGCGCCGCTCGCAGAACACGCTGTCCACGTTGAGCGCCTCGCGGTTGGGCCGCCAGCCCCGCACGCCGCGCTGGGGCTTGGCCTCCGCCGATCCGGACCGCGACTCCGTCTTGGCGTCGCCGCCGCCGCTTCCGCGCCGCCGCGGCTCTTTGTCGGCGCAGCCCGCGGGAGGCTTCGGCGCGGAGGGCGCGGCGGTTGGCAGGGCCGACGCCGGATCTGCCGCGGTACCGGAGCGGTGGCCGCCGCTGTCTTTGCGGGGTGGCTCCTGCGGCTGCTGCTGCTGCTGCTGCTGCTTGGTTTCCTGCTTTGGCTTCTGTTTGGCGTCGTCCGACTTCTGCCGGGAACGCGACTTCTCCTTCAGAGCCTCCCCTGATTGCGGGAGAACGGGAGAGGTGGTAGGATGAGAATGGAGCGGCGAGCGAAGCCGAGAGCGAAATGGAGAAAATATCACCTGTTGCGAGCGGCGGAGCTTGACACTAACGGTATGGCACATGCAGGAGGCCACTGCCCCATACTCGTTTGAGTTTGCGGACCGACTTCGACTCTGGTGGTTATTATACACGAACCTCTCAACAGTTGAGTCAAAGAATCTCCCTGCTCAACCCACACCGAGGTATTGCTCATCTCCATCGGTGTCCCCCTAAACCAATGCTGCATATTCCCCACTCCCACGGTAGGGTTCACCAGCACAGGCCAAACATGCAATCAACCACGAGATAACCTTCGTCACGTCGCACGTGACATCACCCCGAATCTCCCGTCTACGGCAGTGGCCCCCTCCCTCCGTCCGCCCCCCGTCACCCCACCCCCCGCCACCACCCCCCCCCCCCGCACCCCCCCCCCCGCACCCCCCCCCCCGCACCCCCCGTACCGTCGCTGTGGTAGCCGGACTGCGGCGCCGGGTCACCGTCTCTGCCGACGCGCGCCGGCCTGCTCTGGCTGCGCTTCTTCTCGGCGCTGCCCCCCTTGCTGTTGCGCTGCTGCCGGTTCCGCTCGTGCGATGGGGATTCTGCACCCGGCCACAGCAGAGACCCCGCGGTGCGCCTGAGCAGCTGGTACCGTACGGTAAGTTCACAACGCCGACGCATCAGAGCGTCACGCAGATGGTTTAGCGTGCGAATACTTGAGGTCGATGGTTTAGAGTGCCGATGGTTTAGGTCGATGGTTTAGAGTGCCGATGGTTTAGAGTGTCGATGGTTTAGAGTGTCGATGGTTTAGAGTGTCGATGGTTTAGAGTGTCGATGGTTTAGAGTGCCGATGGTTTAGGTCGATGGTTTAGAGTGTCGATGGTTTAGAGTGTCGATGGTTTAGAGTGTCGATGGTTTAGAGTGCCGATGGTTTAGAGTGTCGATGGTTTAGAGTGTCGATGGTTTAGAGTGTCGATGGTTTAGAGTGTCGATGGTTTAGGTCGATGGTTTAGAGTGCCGATGGTTTAGAGTGTCGATGGTTTAGAGTGTCGATGGTTTAGAGTGCCGATGGTTTAGAGTGTCGATGGTTTAGAGTGTCGATGGTTTAGAGTGTCGATGGTTTAGAGTGTCGATGGTTGAGAGTGTCGATGGTTTAGAGTGTCGATGGTTTAGAGTGCCGATGGTTTAGAGTGTCGATGGTTTAGAGTGCCGATGGTTTAGAGTGTCGATGGTTTAGAGTGTCGATGGTTTAGAGTGTCGATGGTTGAGAGTGTCGATGGTTTAGAGTGTCGATGGTTTAGAGTGCCGATGGTTGAGAGTGTCGATGGTTTAGAGTGTCGATGGTTGAGAGTGTCGATGGTTGAGAGTGTCGATGGTTTAGAGTGTCGATGGTTTAGAGTGTCGATGGTTTAGAGTGTCGATGGTTTAGAGTGTCGATGGTTGAGAGTGTCGATGGTTTAGAGTGTCGATGGTTTAGAGTGTCGATGGTTTAGAGTGTCAATGGTTTAGAGTGTCGATGGTTTAGAGTGCCGATGGTTTAGGTCGATGGTTTAGAGTGTCAATGGTTTAGAGTGTCGATGGTTTAGAGTGTCGATGGTTGAGAGTGTCGATGGTTTAGAGTGCCGATGGTTTAGGTCGATGGTTTAGAGTGTCAATGGTTTAGAGTGTCGATGGTTTAGAGTGCCGATGGTTTAGAGTGTCGATGGTTTAGAGTGTCGATGGTTTAGAGTGCCGATGGTTTAGAGTGTCGATGGTTTAGAGTGTCGATGGTTTAGAGTGTCGATGGTTTAGGTCGATGGTTTAGAGTGTCGATGGTTTAGAGTGTCAATGGTTTAGAGTGTCGATGGTTTAGAGTGTCGATGGTTGAGAGTGTCGATGGTTTAGAGTGCCGATGGTTTAGGTCGATGGTTTAGAGTGTCAATGGTTTAGAGTGTCGATGGTTTAGAGTGTCGATGGTTTAGAGTGTCGATGGTTTAGAGTGTCGATGGTTTAGAGTGTCGATGGTTTAGAGTGCCGATGGTTTAGGTCGATGGTTTAGAGTGCCGATGGTTTAGAGTGTCGATGGTTTAGAGTGCCGATGGTTTAGGTCGATGGTTTAGAGTGCCGATGGTTTAGGTCGATGGTTTAGAGTGCCGATGGTTTAGAGTGTCGATGGTTTAGAGTGTCGATGGTTTAGAGTGTCGATGGTTTAGAGTGCCGATGGTTTAGGTCGATGGTTTAGAGTGTCGATGGTTTAGAGTGTCGATGGTTTAGAGTGTCGATGGTTTAGAGTGTCGATGGTTTAGAGTGCCGATGGTTTAGGTCGATGGTTTAGAGTGTCGATGGTTTAGAGTGTCGATGGTTTAGAGTGCCGATGGTTTAGGTCGATGGTTTAGAGTGTCGATGGTTTAGAGTGTCGATGGTTTAGAGTGTCGATGGTTTAGAGTGCCGATGGTTTAGGTCGATGGTTTAGAGTGTCGATGGTTTAGAGTGTCGATGGTTTAGAGTGTCGATGGTTTAGAGTGTCGATGGTTTAGAGTGTCGATGGTTTAGAGTGTCGATGGTTTAGAGTGTCGATGGTTTAGAGTGCCGATGGTTTAGGTCGATGGTTTAGAGTGTCGATGGTTTAGAGTGTCGATGGTTTAGAGTGTCGATGGTTTAGAGTGTCGATGGTTTAGAGTGTCGATGGTTTAGAGTGTCGATGGTTTAGAGTGCCGATGGTTTAGGTCGATGGTTTAGAGTGTCGATGGTTTAGAGTGTCGATGGTTTAGAGTGCCGATGGTTTAGAGTGCCGATGGTTTAGAGTGTCGATGGTTTAGAGTGTCGATGGTTTAGAGTGTCGATGGTTTAGAGTGTCGATGGTTTAGAGTGCCGATGGTTTAGGTCGATGGTTTAGAGTGCCGATGGTTTAGAGTGCCGATGGTTTAGAGTGTCGATGGTTTAGAGTGCCGATGGTTTAGAGTGTCGATGGTTTAGAGTGCCGATGGTTTAGAGTGTCGATGGTTTAGAGTGCCGATGGTTTAGAGTGCCGATGGTTTAGAGTGTCGATGGTTTAGAGTGCCGATGGTTTAGAGTGTCGATGGTTTAGAGTGTCGATGGTTTAGAGTGCCGATGGTTTAGAGTGTCGATGGTTTAGAGTGCCGATGGTTTAGAGTGTCGATGGTTTAGAGTGCCGATGGTTTAGAGTGTCGATGGTTGAGAGTGTCGATGGTTTAGAGTGTCGATGGTTTAGAGTGTCGATGGTTTAGAGTGTCGATGGTTTAGAGTGCCGATGGTTTAGAGTGCCGATGGTTTAGAGTGTCGATGGTTGAGAGTGTCGATGGTTTAGAGTGTCGATGGTTTAGAGTGCCGATGGTTTAGAGTGTCGATGGTTGAGAGTGTCGATGGTTTAGAGTGTCGATGGTTTAGAGTGTCGATGGTTTAGAGTGTCGATGGTTTAGAGTGCCGATGGTTTAGAGTGTCGATGGTTTAGAGTGTCGATGGTTGAGAGTGTCGATGGTTTAGAGTGTCGATGGTTTAGAGTGTCGATGGTTTAGAGTGTCGATGGTTTAGAGTGTCGATGGTTGAGAGTGTCGATGGTTTAGAGTGTCGATGGTTGAGAGTGTCGATGGTTTAGAGTGTCGATGGTTTAGAGTGCCGATGGTTTAGAGTGTCGATGGTTTAGAGTGTCGATGGTTTAGAGTGTCGATGGTTTAGAGTGTCGATGGTTTAGAGTGTCGATGGTTTAGAGTGTCGATGGTTTAGAGTGTCGATGGTTTAGAGTGTCGATGGTTTAGAGTGTCGATGGTTTAGAGTGTCGATGGTTTAGAGTGTCGATGGTTTAGAGTGTCGATGGTTTAGAGTGTCGATGGTTTAGAGTGTCGATGGTTTAGAGTGTCGATGGTTTAGAGTGTCGATGGTTTAGAGTGTCGATGGTTGAGAGTGTCGATGGTTTAGAGTGTCGATGGTTGAGAGTGTCGATGGTTTAGAGTGTCGATGGTTTAGAGTGCCGATGGATGTCGATGGTTTAGAGTGTCGATGGTTTAGAGTGTCGATGGTTTAGAGTGTCGATGGTTTAGAGTGTCGATGGTTTAGAGTGTCGATGGTTTAGAGTGTCGATGGTTTAGAGTGTCGATGGTTTAGAGTGTCGATGGTTTAGAGTGTCGATGGTTTAGAGTGTCGATGGTTTAGAGTGTCGATGGTTTAGAGTGTCGATGGTTTAGAGTGTCGATGGTTTAGAGTGTCGATGGTTTAGAGTGTCAATGGTTTAGAGTGTCGATGGTTGAGAGTGTCGATGGTTTAGAGTGTCGATGGTTTAGAGTGTCGATGGTTTAGAGTGTCGATGGTTTAGAGTGTCGATGGTTTAGAGTGTCGATGGTTGAGAGTGTCGATGGTTTAGAGTGTCGATGGTTGAGAGTGTCGATGGTTGAGAGTGTCGATGGTTTAGAGTGTCGATGGTTTAGAGTGTCGATGGTTGAGAGTGTCGATGGTTTAGAGTGTCGATGGTTTAGAGTGTCGATGGTTGAGAGTGTCGATGGTTGAGAGTGTCAATGGTTTAGAGTGTCGATGGTTGAGAGTGTCGATGGTTGAGAGTGTCGATGGTTTAGAGTGTCGATGGTTTAGAGTGTCGATGGTTGAGAGTGTCGATGGTTTAGAGTGTCGATGGTTTAGAGTGTCGATGGTTGAGAGTGTCGATGGTTGAGAGTGTCGATGGTTTAGAGTGTCGATGGTTGAGAGTGTCGATGGTTTAGAGTGTCGATGGTTTAGAGTGTCGATGGTTTAGAGTGTCGATGGTTGAGAGTGTCGATGGTTGAGAGTGTCGATGGTTTAGAGTGTCGATGGTTTAGAGTGTCGATGGTTTAGAGTGTCGATGGTTTAGAGTGTCAATGGTTTAGAGTGTCGATGGTTTAGAGTGTCGATGGTTTAGAGTGTCGATGGTTTAGAGTGTCGATGGTTTAGAGTGTCGATGGTTTAGAGTGTCGATGGTTGAGAGTGTCGATGGTTTAGAGTGTCGATGGTTTAGAGTGTCGATGGTTGAGAGTGTCGATGGTTTAGAGTGTCGATGGTTTAGAGTGTCGATGGTTGAGAGTGTCGATGGTTTAGAGTGTCGATGGTTTAGAGTGTCGATGGTTTAGAGTGTCGATGGTTTAGAGTGTCGATGGTTTAGAGTGTCGATGGTTTAGAGTGTCGATGGTTTAGAGTGTCGATGGTTTAGAGTGTCGATGGTTTAGAGTGTCGATGGTTTAGTGTCGATGGTTTAGAGTGTCGATGGTTTAGAGTGTCGATGGTTTAGTGTCGATGGTTTAGAGTGTCGATGGTTTAGAGTGTCGATGGTTGAGAGTGTCGATGGTTTAGAGTGTCGATGGTTTAGAGTGTCGATGGTTTAGAGTGTCGATGGTTGAGAGTGTCGATGGTTTAGAGTGTCGATGGTTTAGAGTGTCGATGGTTTAGAGTGTCGATGGTTGAGAGTGTCGATGGTTTAGAGTGTCGATGGTTGAGAGTGTCGATGGTTTAGAGTGTCAATGGTTTAGAGTGTCGTGGTTGAGAGTGTCGATGGTTTAGAGTGTCGATGGTTGAGAGTGTCGATGGTTTAGAGTGTCAATGGTTTAGAGTGTCGATGGTTTAGAGTGTCGATGGTTTAGGGTGTCGATGGTTGAGAGTGCCGATGATTTAGTGTGCTGATGGTTGAGGAGCATCCATGGAGCAGAATCCCGTCAGGACACAGTGCCGATGGGTAACAGTGCTCGGGTTTTACCGGCGGCTTTGCTGCTGCCGCTGCCGCTCCCGGCGGCGGCGCTCGTGGCAGCGACGCCAGCGACGGCGTGCGGCACGTCGTGCCCCGCGTTGTGGATGACCGTGGTCTGCGAGTCGGACGAGTCCGAGTGCGGCTGCAGCAGGCACTCATTGGAGGAGTCCGTCTTGGAGTCGCTGGAGATGGACGGCTCTCGACCTGGACGGTCGCAAACGCGGAGGGGCTCAGCGCGGCGGAGCCGCTCGGTGGAGGAGCTCGCCGCCGGCACGGAGATGACCCGGCACGGGGGCGGCGCTGCCTCGCAAGAGACGGGCCACCGATTGCTAAGCTTGGAAACTATTGCGTCTGTCCATCAGGGTACACACAAGGCACGCCTTACGTAACGAGTACGGAGAGTCCGTATTTTTCCCCGCGCTCAAGCAATGCTGCTGAAATTGTGCATTCTCAGAAGGCTACGTGGCTGATGGATGTGTAAAAAGTATGTCCGAGGGTGTCAGTACGTCTGTGCGTGTCAGTAAGTCTGTGAGTGTCGGTAAGTCTGAGCGTGTCGGTAAGTCTGAGTGTGTCGATACGTCTAAACGCTCACGCAAGAGGTACACACTCGGTCCCTGAACCGAGTTGATAATCAATGGATTTGCATTCAACTTTTGAGCCGTGGATTACTGTAAAGTCACGTAGGTAGAAAATAATAGATCACGACGTTTCGATCGCAACACAAGGGACCGTTATCAGGTGAGACAATCACAGCAGGCAAACTGCTGAAGCAGGCGAGAGAGCTGCCGTGACAAGAGGCTATATAGATCGGGCACGTGGGCGGGGCTAGAGATGGGAGAGCGAGGTGGGGGCAGCAAGATCGGCGGCGACCGGAGCGCTCGCCAGGGGGAGAGAGGGGGGGCAGAGCAAGATCGGCGGCAGGGGGCGAGTGGGACAAGGGGGGAGAGGGAGCTGCCGCGGCAGCAGTAAGTGATCGGCGGCAGGGGGGGAGGGGGGGCAAAGATAATCGCTGGTAGGGGGAGAGAGAGAGAGGCTGTGTTAGTGAATGTGGCTCAGAGTCGAGAATAGCTGTTAACATCGGCAGGCAGGAAGGGGGACATCACCACCAGTTTCGACTTAAAAAAACGGTTAATAACGTCCTTCCAATGATTGCTCAGTTTGTATCCCTCTTCTCGGTTGAAATTGTGTCTGTGGTTATATATCTGGATGGCTTCATGGACAACTCTTTGAAGGTAGCCCAAAGGTTTGCAGAGTACCTTGGTCTCGGAAAAAACAATTTCGTGTGAGCCCACCGCGTTAAAACAGTGATCCGCCACGGCAAAGGTATTGATCCTGCCCTGTTTCAGATCTGCCTTGTGTTCGCGGACACGGTCCGAGACATGTCGTTTCGTTTCCTCAATGTAACTGCTGCCGCAGCCACAACTTAGTTTGTAGACACCAGGGTATTGCATATCAGGAATCATATTCTTCACAGATGGGATCAAATCACGGATTTGATCCCCCCCCCTCTCTCACCCCCCTGCCGCCGATCACTTACTGCTGCCGCGGCAGCTCCCTCTCCCCCCTTGTCCCACTCGCCCCCTGCCGCCGATTTTGCTCTGCCCCCCCCTCTCTCCCCCTGGCGAGCGCTCCGGTCGCCACCGATCTTGCTGCCCCCACCTCGCTCTCCCATCTCTAGCCCCGCCCACGTGCCCGACCTATATAGCCTCTTGTCACGGCAGCTCTCTCGCCTGCTTCAGCAGTTTCCCTGCTGTGATTGTCTCACCTGATAACAGTCGCTTGTGTTGCGATTGAAACGTCGTGATCTATTATTTTCTACCTACGTGACTTTACCTGAAGAACCAAAGAGTATGGATTCCTGCAGTCACGAAAGCTTCAAATCCACATGGATTATTGTGTTTCACGAGGATCAATTTTGATCCGTGGATAATCCATTTGAGGGATAATTGGAATTGTGGCACGGGCGTGTGTGTGTGTGTATGTGTAGGTGTTTACGTGTGTGTGTGTGTAGGTGTTTACGTGTGTGTGTGTAGGTGTTTACGTGTGTGTGTGTGTAGGTGTTTACGTGTGTGTGTGTATGTGTAGGTGTTTACGTGTGTGTGTGTATGTGTAGGTGTTTACGTGTGTGTGTGTGTATGTGTAGGTGTTTACGTGTGCGTCCGCGGGCATATTGCCCGACACGCGCCCTGGCACCTCCCGTCGCTGCGACGGACGGAGTGCCCAGCAGCTGCTTGCTGCAATTCTGGTTCTTATTTTTGTGGCTTCTCACGTGGGAGACGAATCTGATCACGTGGGAGACGAGTCTGATCCGTAAGACTGAGAATACAGTTCTGCAAGTGTTGCGCGCAGCCAACCTTACTAATCGGAGATGCGGGTTACCTACACATACGTCTGTATATATTCATATGTATGTGCATATATATACATTTTTATAATTATATATTCAATAATTGTATTATACATCATAATATATAATACAATTACATAATATTACTGAATTATGTAATTACATGGGTTTTTTGTCCACGTGATGTGTATATACTTATGATATAATTATTAGCGATGCACTTAAAACATGCGTGCGTGCATCGTGCACGGGGGCTCCTGAAGCTACTGGGGCAGCTGGCGGCACCAGCCCTCCAGCGACAGCAGCGGGAGGAGGGAGGCACGGGAGGACCGCTCACCCCAGCGCCTGGTGCCTCGGACACAGCAAAGCCGGCACGGCGGGGGCTCAAGTCCGTTAACTCAGAACATCTGGATCTGTCCCACGTCCTCCTGCCAGCGCGTCTCGTGCCCTCAAGCTGTACACTAAGCTGGCACAAGTGCCCAGGTGATGTCATCATTACTTAATGGTGAATTGCAACAGCAGCTGCTGCTGCGTTGTACATATAAATATTGAAATGTACGGAGAGCGCGTATTTTTTCCTGCGCTCAAGCAATGCTGCTGAAATTGTGCACTCCCAGAAGGCCACGTGGCTGATGGGATGTGTAAAAAGTATGTCCGATGGTGCCAGTACCTCTCCGCGTGTCGGTCGGTCTGTGAGTGTCGGTACGTCTGCGCGTGTCGGTAAGTCTGTGAGTGTCGGTACGTCTGTGAGTGTCGGCAAGTCTGCGCGTGTCTGTACGTCTGCGCGTGTCGGTAAGTCTCAGCGTGTCGGTAAGTCTCAGCGTGTTGGTACATCTGCGCGTGTCGGCAAGTCTGTGCGTGTCGGCAAGTCTGTGCGTGTCGGCAAGTCTGTGCATGTCGGCAAGTCTGTGCGTGTCGGTAAGTCTGTGCATGTCGGCAAGTCTGAGCGTGTCGGCAAGTCTGTGCGTGTCGGCATGCACGGTGCCCGCACCAGAGTCCACGCTGCCGAAGCGCTGCCGGCTGGGCCCCAGCCACATGGTCTCGGTGGGGGCCTCGGACGTGGACACGGGGCAACCCTTGGGGTCTGCGTAGAGCAGCAGCAGGGGCTGGTAGTGGTTCCTGATGCACTTGGACACCACCTCCTTCCACTTGGAGCCGACCTGCAGCAGGCAGTTCACGTCAGCCAGCGCTCGGAGTAATGCAGTCAGGGCGGCCGATGACCCAGCACTCTCGCCAGTTCACTTCAGTGTCTCACTCGCCAACGTTCAGTCGCCATCTCTTTATCTCTCTTCTATCGCTGCTACCATGGTTACTGTTCCCCATGAACGTCACTCACCGATTCCTCCACCCAGACTGACCGCTTCGTCTCACCCATACCGTGTGTTTGTCCGCTGCAGGTCACGACATCACACTCCCTCGCTCACAACCCTGAAGTTTACAACGCTTCCCTTTCTGCTTCTTCCTTTGCACCGCTCAACTTTGTCTGTTTTTCCAAGCTCTAAATCATCTTGCCAAATTGACTACGATAATGAGCCAATAATGTCTGTGTGTCCCGCGCGAGACGTCACTCCACGTCGACCAGCCCCCCTCATTAATAATCATGAACAAGTGACGTCCTCCAAATGCACCCACCCCTCCATTAATAATAATTAGTGGGTGACGTCACTCCACATGGGGGGGCGAGGCGCCTCCTCCCCCCTCCTCGGCATCAACTTACAACCCTCACTACAAAGGCAGAACCCTCACGTCACGTGATCTCCGTAACGCTGTTGAGACATCAAAGTAAAAAGGACGTCGTGATGAACAAGGGATTATAACCTTTAAATGAAATAGGTCTGTGTCGCCGCGCCCTTACAAATTGCACACACATCAATGCAATGAATATCCCGGTGTGGTTTGCTTTTTGCTTGTAAATTTCAGATTTACTGCAATACACCCAGACGGGCAAAATAGAGATGTAACACTTCTACTACTACGGCTCTCATGGTGCTGTTTGCTTCTGGCCACTTTCACAGTCTCTGTACCCAACACCTTTGATTAGCACGGTTGGCTACGTACGGTGCTTGAAAGAAGTTCAACATACATACATAAATACGTGTGAACAACAACATCGCACCGCACCAGCATGGCACCGTGCCTCATTTAACTGATCACATCAACCTGCGGAATGACGTAACTCAATGGCGCGCAACGCAAAAGCTGCTCTCGCGTGACAACGGTGCTCATCCCACGCCGTCTGCACTGCGCTCGAATCGTTACGCGACGGTTCTGACCGCGTCCGTCCGGTGCTTGCCGAGCTGCATTGGCTTCCAGATGCCGAACGAATACATTGTAAGGTCGCGCTCATTGCACACAAAGTGCTTGCCACAATTGAACCACGATACCTCGCTGATCTCATCAAGGAGCATAAACCAACACGTGGACTCCGTTCATCCTTGCAGTAAGCAGCGGATTTTGGCTATTGCCATCGAACAAAGACGGTCACCGCATGGCGCGCTTTCAGTTGCGCTTCTGCGGCCGTCTGGAACGCTCTTCCTTCCGATATTAGGAAGCCAATGGAGCTGTGCACATTTAAATCATCATCTAGATTGAAAACTCATTTCTTTAGAACTGCTTTTTGTGTTTAGTTTGTTGTCCTTCCCCCATATCTCCAATTAGTACGGTTGGCTAAGTACAGTGCGAAAGAAGTTCAAGATACATTATCAATGCGACGACGATGCCAAAACCATCACAAGCAGCACCACTGACCTGTCACTCTGCACGTCACTCTGCATTCGCGTCGCCACACAATCACATCGCGCTGCATCGGAACATCGCTCCACGCCGCACCTGCGCCTCGTTTCACTCTCCCACTTGCACGCCCGCTGGCGAGCGCGACGTTGACGTACAGCCATCGCGCATCACGGCACGTGTCGGCGCTGCTCGCTATCGCCGCGCACACCACGCAACATCCCGCGCATCCCGCCAAGCGGTAAACGACGTCGCAGGCACGCAACGCCGCGGTGGAGGGGGGGGCGGCCTCGCAGCGCAGAGTCTGGAGTCCCCGGGGGGCTGGAGGGGAAAGGATTTCGAGTGGAATCCGGCGTCTTGCCAGGGCGTTGCGTTCACGCTCCGCCAATGCTTCACGACGTCGCACGCGCAGGCGCCTCACACCGTGTTCCCACAACCGCTCGAGAGGGGCTTCGGCTCTGGGCTCTCGTCAATCTCAACGGGGGATCCGCGTCGTTCTCGCCCGTAAATGGTGCAGACAAACGCATTGATTGGACGCGTACATCAAAGCATTCGCTGTGTTCACGAATACATAATCATCAACGCACTACATCAATTCACTCGCAACCGAGTATTTCCCAAGCACAAGCTCTCGCGTGAATGTTAAACGAACGTTAACATGTCACTATAAATATGACGTCCGGAATAGGCCCAACATCACAAGCAGAGCCCTCCCGAACAAGAATCTAGAGACTCTGTAAGGATTTCCTGGATAAAGGACAACATCATGCTGTTAGCAAGTAGCACCTATGAAGTATAGCACGGCACACGAGGTGGTGGGTGGCCAACACCACGCCCGGCCGCCGAGTGGCAAAGTTTACTGCACACCGCACCAGGTACTCATTTGAGGCCGAGTCAACCTAGGGACAGCCCAGGACCGGTTCAGATAATCGTCACTGATGTTGGCCGTGAGCAGGAATTGAACTCTGATTGCCGAGTTTGTAGTGCAGCGCGCTAAGCACTGCGCCACCACTCGACCCAAATATGGATGTACCAAAACCCGCCATTCGCCACTCAGTCACGGTGACGTCACCACTGTGCCTGTGCCAGGCCAGGTGCACTTTGAGGCCACGTGAAGTGTCCAAGGCTCGCTGACAGGATGTCTTGGGACAGACCCAGGTGCCGTGGGTTGGCTGACTAAAATGTCCAGTAGATGCACCGGCCGTACCCCCTACTGTGCCAACTCGCTGTAGTTTAGCCGCCGGGCGCTCCACTCGTTGTTGTGAGCGTCACTCCACTGCCCTCCGTTCTTGTTGGAGGGCGACTGCCTCCAACTGCTTAATAGCAGCATCCTTCACAAGCCACCTCCATGCACTTGTATACGCACACACACATACATGTGTAAAGATCACACAAGAGGTACACACTAGGTCCCTGAACCGAGTTTATAATCAATGGATTTGCGTTGAACTTTTGAGCCATGGATTATTGTGTTCCACGAGGATCAATTTCGATCCGTAGATAATCAAATTGAGGGATAATTGGAATTGTGGCGCCTGTGTGTGTGCGTGTGTATGTGTGTGCGTGTGTATGTGTGTGCGTGTGTGTGCGTGCGTGTGTACGTGTGTGTGTGGGTGCGTGTGTGCGCGTGTGTGGGTGCGTGTGTGTGCGTGCGTGCGCGTGCGTGCGTGCGTGCGTGCGCGTATGTGTGTGCATGCGTAGGTGTTTACGTGTGCATCCATGAGCGTATTGCGCGACTTGCGCCCTGCCAAGCAGCTGCTTGCTTCAATTCTGGTTCTTATTTTGTGGCTTCTCACGTGGGAGACGAGTCCGATCACGTGGGAGACGAATCCGATCACGTGGGAGACGACTCCGATCACGTGGGAGTAGAAATACTTATGATATAATTATTAGCGATGCACTTAAAACATGCGTGCGTGCATCGTGCACGGGGGCTCCTGAAGCTACTGGGGCAGCTGGCGGCACCAGCCCTCCAGCGACAGCAGCGGGAGGAGGGAGGCACGGGAGGACCGCTCACCGCAGCGCCTGGTGCCTCGGACACAGCAAAGCCGGCACGGCGGGGGCTCAAGTCCGTTAACTCAGAACATCTGGATCTGTCCCACGTCCTCCTGCCAGCGCGTCTCGTGCCCTCAAGCTGTACACTAAGCTGGCACAAGTGCCCAGGTGATGTCATCATTACTTAATGGTGAATTGCAACAGCTGCTGCTGCTGCTGTGTGTGTGTTGTACATATGTATATGGTAATGCAGTGTCGGTGTGTTACTGATTGGGCTTTGTAATTTCTTGTTTTAATAATGAATGGATAATCTCCAAAAGGCAAAGTTGTGATTATGTGTGTCTGTTCAACATGTTCAGCTACTTCCCGACATGCAACAAACTTGAAATTTGCCATGTGGGTACTTTCCAGAATGTACACCATGCACAAATGATTAAAATACACTTTTGTGTTTTGTTTGGGGGGGGGAGGTCAATAATGCATCTATTTTTTGCACGGCAAGTGAGCTGTGACGTCACATCTGTCACGTGACCCGCGCATGTGGAAGCGTAACGCATTGTGGTGTAGTGGTTAGCGCGCCGCGCTACGAACCCGGCGACCCGAGTTCGATTCCCGCTCACGGCCAACCCCTAGGTCGACTCAGCCTCAAACGAGTAACTGGTGTGGTGTGTGAACATTGCCAATGGGGAGACAAAGGCGGCCGGGCATGGTGAATCCAAGTCCCGGGCGAAGCCGGGTAGTAAAGCTAGTGTTTAATATTTCAGGGCACAGCACTGCACTTAACAATGTTTGGCGAAATGTTAACTCCCTCGCCTGGTATGCAGGATGTCGTGGGTTTAATCCCAAACGTGACACCTGCAAATTTTTGAATTTTCATGTTCTCCCTGTGGTCGCGTGGATTTCTCTCCTGGTTCTAGGATTTATCCCTCCACGTTAAGAATCAACAAATACATTTAGCGTATTCGGTTGCTATAAGCCACTTCGGTGAGCTATGATTTGTGGCCAGGTCGCTTCTGATAAAGAGCTGTATAGCTCAGCGGGCCTCACCTGGTAGAATAAAACTTACTTGCATTGTACTTGATGCACATACGAATATACTTGGTACGCATGCCAGCTGTGCGTAAAGCATGATGCATGTATCGTGCGCGTGCGTGGACGGCCGCACGTGCGTACCAACCAGCTGTGCTTCAGACCCCAGAGAGCAGGGGGTTAATAGATTCCCGACTGTGTGAATAGTTTCATCGCATCTGAGAATCGCACGGCCGGTACGGCCGTCCCCTCACCAAAGCCCACGTGAGCGGAGAAACGTTACCGATCGACTCGCCACCGCTGCGACAGGCTTTTGGCCTCGGCCTCCCCGAGGTCAACGCATGCATGTTGAACCTATTTCGCAAAGTATGTAGCCAACCGTGCTAATCAGAGGTGCGGGGGAAGGACAACAAACTAAACACAAAAAGCAGTTCTAAAGAAATGAGTTTTCAATCTAGACATAATAGTGCATAGCTCCAGTGGCTTCCTAATATCTGAAGGAAGAACGTTCCAGACGGCTGCAATCAGCAACTCACCGGCAAACCGGACCACCGGTTTGCTAATTGACCGCACGGAGGTGAGCTTTCCCGAAATGAAAACTATCCGCGGGGGTGGCAACAGCGGCGCCGGCGTTACCTCTTTGACCTCCGCGTCGTCGAAGTAGATCCACTTGCGCAGGCGCGTGTGGTAGAAGAAGGTGGAGTAGTGGTGGCCATAGTAGCACACCATGCCGACCAGCCACAGTTCCGTGCGTTTCGCCTTGTCGTCCGTCACGCGGTAAAACAGCTGCCGCGGCCGGGACGGAGAGTGAAGTTCGGGGGGGGGGGGGTGAGGGTGGGGGGGCGAGGGGGCAGGCACAGGGAGAAACGGCATAAAGGAGAAAGAGAGGGGGAGAGAGAAAAGGGAATTAACAAATGAGCGCTGGCTTTTAAAACGCCAGGGATGAATTAAAGGGCACTCTGCAATCAGCACGGATGACGTGGGGCCCGGGCTTCCGGGACACTTGCTCAACGGCGGTCGGCCCGGCGATCGACAGTCCTCGCGCGCTGTGACAGCCGCATTAAAGTGAATGCCTTGGCCACGGCTGATGCCAGCGCCGTGAAAAACCCGGCCTGGCTCATTTCGCTAATGGAGCCAGACGAGGATGGGTTATTAGAACAGATAACGGCGACAACCCAACGTTGTGAAATGATGTCCGCGATTCCCGAACGTTGGTCCAGTGAAAGCCACGCTGAGCGTCCAGGGTAACATCCCAGGATGACTCCCCCCCCCCCCCTCCTTGGAATGTTTGGCCAATTCCTTTTAAAGTGTATGTTTCTTGCGTGGGAAGGATCTCGAATGCCACGGAAGAAACCCCACGCGAAAGTGAGAGTAGCGCACGTCTGAACCCGCGGCACAGATGGCTCGACGGAAACCTTAGACGATGAATTTCATATAACCTCATTTATACCTCCTGTTTTGAATGACTGCAGCTCCATGAGTGTGGGTAAGCAGCAGTGGGTTGAAATAGCTCTCGAGGGGAATCACAATTTCACTGCAATAAACACCGGCGCTGTAATCTCACGTCACGCGGGGGCGCGGCGGAGGGGAGGGACTTTTCCCAGAAATGGGCGATTGTAGTAAAAAAAAAAAAACATTCCGCATTTCACTATGGGGACCTCATTTGCCAGTAAAAATATGATAATTGGTTCTTTACCCTTCTATCTGGCAACAAAACTGACACCTTTTTGCAAGGAGTCATGTTTGCATAGACCGCAATACCTGCAGTCATAATACAAACAAAAGAACATAACTCTGATAATGTGCACTGTCCTTGAAGTTGATTGGTCCACACCCGAGACAGCTTTCCTTCGAGCCTAGTCTCATATGGGTTGGACCAGATGACGCCAAAAGGCGCACAACTCAAGGACAATGCACCATCAGAGTATGAGAGCTCGGGGCAAGCATCTACACTATGGGGACCTCATTTGCCAGTAAAAATATGATAATTGGTTCTTTACCCTGATAATGACAGTGCACATTATCAGAGTTATGTTCTTTTAATAGTAGGTTTTTACCCTTTTAACTGGTACAAAACTGACACCTTTATTGTACCAGTTAAAAGGGTAAAAACCTACTATTATATTTTGCCACTGGTAAAAGAGATCTCATTATGTTCTTTTGTTTGTATTATGACTGCAGGTATTGCGGTCTATGCAAACATGACTCCTTGCAAAAAGGTGTCAGTTTTGTTGCCAGATAGAAGGGTAAAGAACCAATTATCATATTTTTACTGGCAAATGAGGTCCCCATAGTGTAGATGCTTGCCCCGAGCTCTCATACTCTGATGGTGCATTGTCCTTGAGTTGTGCGCCTTTTGGCGTCATCTGGTCCAACCCATATGAGACTAGGCTCGAAGGAAAGCTGTCTCGGGTGTGGACCAATCAACTTCAAGGACAGTGCACATTATCAGAGTTATGTTCTTTTGTTTGTATTATGACTGCAGGTATTGCGGTCTATGCAAACATGACTCCTTGCAAAAAGGTGTCAGTTTTGTTGCCAGATAGAAGGGTAAAGAACCAATTATCATATTTTTACTGGCAATGAGGTCCCCATAGTGTAGATGCTTGCCCCGAGCTCTCATACTCTGATGGTGCATTGTCCTTGAGTTGTGCGCCTTTTGGCGTCATCTGGTCCAACCCATATGAGACTAGGCTCGAAGGAAAGCTGTCTCGGGTGTGGACCAATCAACTTCAAGGACAGTGCACATTATCAGAGTTATGTTCTTTTGTTTGTATTATAACTGCAGGTATTGCGGTCTATGCAAACATGACTCCTTGCAAAAAGGTGTCAGTTTTGTTGCCAGATAGAAGGGTAAAGAACCAATTATCATTCCGCATTTCGTATCAATATTTAATTACACGGGAAGATGGAGCTACGCACGCGCACGCAAAGGCGGCGATTATCCCGGTAGTGGCACACCGCGGTCCGAGCGTGCCGAGGCAACCACAGGACACAGTGCCCACTCAGAAGGTACAGCGGCTGGCAACCACCACCAGTCTCACTTGTCGTCCCCGCTGCCTCAACTCAAGGTCCAGACTGCCCCCCCCCCCCCCCCCCGCTCACAGCGGCTCTGCTGATATGCGGTTAAAAAGCTGCCAGCCGCCGCTTGGTCTGCTATTCGGTGGGACGTCAAGCTGCCCGGTCGACTGCCTGCTGCCGATTTAGTTTTGCCATTTGGTCTGCTGCCTGTGTGGTTGCACTGCCGTCTTGCGTTGCACCGTTGGTCACGTGTCTGTTGGTGTCACGTGTCTGCTGGTGTCGTGTGCCATGCTGCACACGCTGCTGTCAGGCGTTCTGCACGTTGCTGCGTTTTCTGGTTCAACTTTGAAATATTACTCGCAAATTACTTAACTGGGTGAGACCACGCAGCAACGTTGCCCAATATTGGCAGGGTACACTGCTCTGTGAAACAGTACCGTTAGCCCGCACTGCTGCAAGAATGGCCCAAATACCTAATGTCCTCAATTATTATAATTATAATAATTATAATATTCTTCTTTATTTTCCTCCTCGCTGCATAACAGGGAAACATGTTTCTAACCGTAACAATGGAGTCTGCAACAATAAGTTCCACTGCCTTTACAACTGTGCTGCTGATGCTGCTGCTACTGTTGCTGCTGATGAGGTTGATGGTGTGGTGCTGCTACTGATGCCAATGCCGCTGCTATTGCTGGTGCTGTTGCAGCTGCTACTGATGACGTTGATTGTGCTGCGACTGCTGCTACTGATGATGTTTGATGGCGCTCCTACTGCTGCTTCTGCATACTGCTGATCATGATGCTGCTCCTGATGCTGCTGCTGCCACTACTGATGCTGCTGGTACCGCTGCTGGCACTCACTTCGGACAGCTGCAGCCGCGTGCCCAGGCTGCGGATGACGTCTTCGGAGAGGTCAGAGTTCTCAGAGTCCCACACGAGTCCAAGTGTCACGATCTCCGGGGAGTTCATCAGCACCTTGCGCAGACGCACCTGCCGCTCGCCGCAGTTGCTCTGCAATCGCATCACAGAGTATGTTGGGTAGGTAGGTTAGGTGGGTTGGGTTGGGGTGGGTGGGGTTGGTGGAGAAATACACAATCGTTGCTAGTCAGTGAAACTGGACTTTGAAGACGTACTCTCAAACTTTGGCCATTGCGGCGTTATCCCCATCGCGGATTTGACCGTTCGTGCCAAATCTGTGGAGGTACAATTCGCCGTTCGCGCCCCCGAGCGGCGTCTGTCTGCCGTAAAGGGGGACACGGAAGGGTTAAGGAAGTTATTTATTCACGCTTCACTGGGAAATAAGAAATGTTTTCATTTTACAAAATGAAAAGCGCCCACCATGGTGTGCCAATGTTTAGCACGAAAATTTTCGTGGCGCCTCGAAATGGAACGAGAACACGAGAAGTGCCATGGGCCGCGAGCACGTGGGCGGGGGGTCGGGGTGATGCGGGGTGACGTGGGGTCACATGGGGTCCTACGGTCTACGTCTGCTAGCGGTGCCGATTGAGCTGTTGGGGGATGGGGGGGGGGTCACGGGCGTCGGGATCGGGATCGATCGGCAGGCGCGCGACCCCGCCTGCTTCACCTGCTTCGAACGATCGGCCATCGAGTGAGCGTCAGCGGCTCCCGACGTTTGGTACGGAGCATTTCACCGACGCGAGGCGCACAGTGGCGACTGCTGCTGCTGCTGATGGGGGAGGCAGAGCCTGCTGTGGTTTCAGTTATGGAGCGATGGAGATGTGGGCACGCAAAGATCGCGATGGACAACAGCAACAACAATCGCCGTTTGCCATCAAGTGGCAGTGCCATCACCACGGCAGTTGTGCCACGCACACAAACACGTGCTACGAAGCTACTGTATGGATCGATGGGCCCCCAATTGTAACAATTTGGAATTTCCACCAACATTGCTCCACTTCAGCTTGGGGCACACGTGTGGTCGCGAGCATCACGGAAGATGTATTCGGTCTTTGGAACAGATGTGCAAGTCCTGGGGATTTTGAGACCTTGTACTTTCTCTGTCTAGCTCGGGTCAAGCTTACGGCAGGAGGTTACGGAAAGGGTGGAAATGTATTCAGAAGTTTGTAAACTCACGTTGTGAATAGTAATAATAATGCTCTTTATCTGGTCCAACATCAATCCAGGGTGAGTGAAATACACTCAACAGTCATTGTGTTTATGCAGAAACTGAGCTGGAACTGGGAATGTGGAATGGTCACCACTGTCAACATAGGGGAGGCCCAGGACCAGTTCAGACATTCGCCAACGATTTTGCCTGCGTGCGGGAATCAAACTCGGGTCGCCGGGTCCGGAGCACCGTCAGGCTAAACGCAGCAACTCCCGCTTAAGGCACACGTGCTTTGGTCATTTGATCTCTTATTCAAATCGGATGCGAGCCCAGTGAGACTCTCGCGTGTCTTGCAATGCAATTGGAAAGACGAGAGCCCAATGCGTCTCTTGAAATGGAATTAAAAAGTGCATCTGTGCAGAGGAATAATAAACAAAAAAATATAGAAACAAAAATCAATCAGGAATCACAAAACCCGGCACAAGGGAATGAAACGAATCGTATTACAGGAGACCCTTGACTGTCGCAGGTTTATCGTTCGCGGTTTCAGTCTGTCGCGGGCAACCTCTGTACACCAATTTAGCTATCGCAGGTGTACTGTACCCGGAAGTAGTGTATCATTGGCTGATACTGTTGGGGCAAGTGCCGTTAGCGAACATCTATGAAGGCCGGCACGGCACACGAGGAGGTGGGTGGCTAGCACCACACCCGGCCGCCTTTGTCTCCCAAGTGGCGACGTTTACAAATCGCACCAGGCACTCATTTAAGGCCGACTCGACTGGTTCAGATATAATCGTCACCTGGTGTTCACCGTGAGCGGGAACCGAACTCGGGTCGCTGGGTTCGCAGTGCAGTGCGCTAACTGTAGCACCACCGCTCCCCACTCGCGGACAAATACACACAACCCGCTTTCGATCATCATCCAAAACGGGTGTTTCTGCGTCTATTTATTGTCAGGAATATTTTTTTTCTATTTGGTTTTTAAGTATTATTTCAATTATTTTGTTATTAGTTCATTTGGCATACAGTAGAGTACTTTTTCAATTGTGATGTTGTCTATTCTTGGTTGCCGTGGACCTCACCCCTTTATTAAGGTAAGCCTTAGGGGGTATTGAAGATCGTGGTTTTGGCTTTCGCGGAACTTTTCAAGAACGTGACCCCCACAATAATAAATGGTCTCCTGTATTTGTAAATCAGCTAACGGTGTGCGCGCACACACACTCACACACGCACACACGGACACACACGTGTTACGAGGGCAGTGGAACACGCTGGACGGACTTGGCTGGGCTATTCCCCGGGGGGTTCACAGAGCACGTGTCACAAAGCAGGGCCCGGGGGGGGGGGGGGGGGCAGTGCTGCCGAGATCACGGCAGCCTCAAAGTCGAGGAAAACTGTCGTGATTGAAGCAAGCTGCCCCCACGTGACGAGGCGACTGCGGTCAGCTCTCCTCCGGAGGGGGGGGGGGGGGGTGACGTCGGATCAAAGGCCCGCGGACAAACGGCCGGAGCGAAGCGAGTCACGCAGAGGAGCGAGAGACGCCAACCTGCGCACTGACGCAGCAATGGGTCCCGTCGTCCCGTTCTAAGTGCGACACGGAGGCGGATATGGAAATGCCGCTGAAATGCACAGTGTATAAAATGGAGCCCTACATCGATAATACAACTGTAATGGGTTCAACTGAGTCAAAGATGTGTAGGCAACACATTTATTCAGTTCCAACACACGGGGTAACTTTCCCTTAACAGAATAACAACCTATAGTGGTGATCACCAGGCTAACTACACTAGTTACAACGTAGCTGCTACTACGGACTGGGAGCGACAGCTACGGCCCGGGTCCAAGTGTTGGAGACTCGTTGAACGTAGAACGGAGACTCGGGGTTTCTTCCAGGATGAACAACAACAACCCTGGTCCCTCTCGGGACCCGGCTGAGATTCTCTGCGGCGTGGCCGGCTCCGCCCTTGGCCACATCCACCTTCCAGAATCCTCGGGAAGGATCTGGATCCCAACCACGTGACCACCCCTAGCGCCCTCTTGGGGCCCCTTTGTAGACTTAACTGGTCACGTGTCCTCTCTGGTCAACCAGAGTGCCATGGCCTCACGTAACCTCATCCTTCGGTTGGCACCCGCACACCCTGTCCTGTAGGGTCGGCACTGCACGTACAGCGTGGTGCCCTCTACACCCACACCGCTGTGGTATCCGCGATGTCGCTGTACCGCACGCCGTGCCTCTCTAGGGCCGGCACTGCACCCAGCACGTTGACATCCAGCGATGTCACTACACAACTACAAACACGACGACAACACGTGCAATGTATTTTCTCTGGTAGATATCAATAAAACAGCCAATTTTCTGAGTCGCATTAAGCGAGGCGGGGGGCGGTGGGGGGGGCGGTGGTGGCGGTGGGGGGGGGGGCGGTGGGGGGGGGCAGTGGGGGGGTCCGCCGCTGTCGCGACCGAAGCAGCGTGGAGGTAATTAAATGAAGCGGCGAGCGCGCGGCGCCAAGCGAGCAAACGAACGCTCGGCGCGCCGTCCGGGGACGCCGGAACCTCCGCCGCTGTTGTCGGGGACAACGGCAACGCCGAGCGGCGATACTACACGGTGCGAAGAAGACGACGACGACAACAATATTTACAGCGCCGGGGCGCCCGCACACCATTTAAGGACGCATTAATAGCGGACCGCAGCTAAGTAATAGTGACAAGTTATTACATCTTTACGGCGGTGGGCACGGTGATTTACGGTGGCGATTTAATTCGAATTAGGGCGTACGAATGATGCGAATGTGCGGGCGAGACACAGAGGGGGGGAGGGAAAATCACTTCGACTACGTGTTCATTTAGCACACATCACCTCTCGAAGCCCCGAGTCAGCAGCCGCGCTCGTAACGGGCTTACAGAAAAATCAATGGGCCGGATTTTTAAGTTATACGCAGCGCGTTCAATTAATATCAGACACCCGCGCGCGCATTTTTCAAAGCGGAGCGGTGCAGGGGGCGGGAGTGGCGGTGTTGAAACGCCGCGCGCTGTGGGATCCGCACTCGCGAGTGGGAGAGCGAGGGGGCGACCCCGCACGAGCACGCCGGCGGTCTCTCCCATCGCAGCAGCCCGGCGGCAGCTGTGACCAACTGGCCGTGCGCAGAGCTGCCCGCGCCACGGCGGCGACGACGCTGCAGCAGCAGCAGAAGCAGCAGCAGCAGCAGAATCAGCAGCAGCAGAATTTATGTATTTAGAGTGCAGGAGGAATCCGAGGCGCTGTAAAGCGATTTTTTTCACATGTCCAATAGGGGCACGTCAGAACGTGACAACGACAAACAAAACAAAAATACGACGGGAGCGGAAAAGGTAAACAAATAACTTAAAAATATACACAATTAAAACTAAAACTATTGCTTAGGAATCTTACCAGGGTCAATATCACCGAGGTATTCGCTTATTTTTCAGAAGCAACGTGGCCACAAATGACAGCTCAACGGCGGGACACTTTTATTCGAGAGGGAGAGGTGGCCATGAATAATAAAACAAGGGAAGGCGCTGGGGGACCTGGATAGGAACGGAGGGGGCTGCATGGATGGCTGTGGGGAGGGAGTTGGAGAATGTGTGTTTGCCAGGGGTCATTAGGAGTGTAATTGTACATTGTAATCAATGAGTTCCCGTCTACGCATGTGTGTGTGTGTGGAAACATTGTTTCGCGCCGCACGTAGCCAACCGTGCTAATCGGAGGTGCGGGGGAAGGACACCAAACTGCACACAAAAAGCAGCTCTGAAGAAGAAATCGATGTACAAACGTGCGTGCGTGCGTAGAGATCACCGGTTCATGATAGAAGTTATGAACGTTTGTATTTGCGAATTTGACCGTGTCGTCAAGGCACCATCATTGCCTTCTTTCGCAAGCATTGAAGAGAAAACGGCACGGGTGGCCGCAAAAATTCCACGGTCG